AGAAGTGCAAGACAATAGTTTGCATCGCAAACACTTTTACACACAAAAGCTTTTACACACAGACGCTTTTACATACAGACCCTTTTACGCACAGACCCTTTTACACACAAAGCTTTTACCCACAGAAGCTTTTACATACAGAAGCTTTTACACACATACGCTTTCACACAGATGCTTTTACACACAGACACTTTTACACAGACACTTTTACACACAAAGCTTTTACCCACAGAAGCTTTTACATACAGAAGCTTTTACAGACATACGCTTTTACACAGATGCTTTTACACACAGACACTTTTACACACAGACACTTTTAACAAAGAGCCTTTTACACACAGGAGCTTTTACACACAGAAGCATTTACACGCAGACGCATTTACACACAAAAACTTTTACACACAGTCACACAGAAGCTTTTACACATAGACGCTTTGACACACAGGCACTTTTACACACAAACACTTGTACATACAAACACTTTTACACACAAACACTTTTACACATAGACGCTTTTACACGCAGAAGCTTTTACACGCAGACGCTTTTACACACAGAAGCTTTGACACACAAACGCTTTTACACACAAACGGTTTTACACACAAGCGCTTTTACACACAATCACTTTTACATACAGACGCTTTTACACACAGACGCTTTTACACACAGGCCGGCCCATGTTCACGCAGTCACAGTGAAGTCATTGTTGTCGTGGCCACCTCAGCAATTCGACGGAGGGGTGAAGTTCGTACCATGTATTTGGTGGACATGCATTCAATATAGTACAGTCTATAGAAGTATTGCTTGGACAGCTCTGGTTGCAATACAAGAATCAAAGTTAAAAATCAAATAACTAAGCTGCTCACAAAGGTGTTGAGTCAGGCAAAGAACCGACTTGGCCCCCCGCCAGGGTGGGGGAACCATCCTATCCCCTCAAAGTATTATAGGAGCAGGCCATAATTATCTACGTATTATCAAAGTCTGAAGCTAAGGCCTAAGGCTATTAATCTAAATATTGTAAAGATCTAAGATGACGACTCGACGATATGCACCTCATCACAATACGTGACCAAGTGTGTAATGTCATGGCAAGCCTAACTAAAACTTTTGTCAGTCCCGATATTGTCCTGCAACACCTAAAAGCGATCACTGCTTGCAGCAGCTGCACCAAAGTGTGCACAGAGACAACCTGGTCGTCCGTCGTGCTCTGGACAGCCGCGATGACAGGTGGGAACCACATGACACCACCGCCAGCCACTGTTACAGACACGCCAAGATCTTTTTCGATGACATCCAAGTTGCAAGCGGCTTGCAAGCTGCCAAGCAGCACACTTGCCCTTTCTGTAGGCTTGGCTTCAGAGCAGCAAGGCTCGCTTCAGAACATCAAGGCTCGCCAGTGGATCTCCTAGTCCAAGGCCCAAAGCTCCTAGACTCCTTGCTCACCCTTTTCTTCACACATCTGTGATGACCTTGGTGATCGCCGTGATGTTCTTCTCCAGGAAATAGCTAGTTACTTGCTTCTTCAAAATAACCTCGTCAACCATCAATTTGAGGCCACTCGATCAACACCAAAAAAGGTCAATGGACCATGTGAACCACAAACATCTTTACACAGCACTCTTACACACAAACCCGTTTACACAGAAACACTTTTACACACAAACATCTTTACACAGAAACACTTTTACACACAAACACTTTTACACACAAACATCTTTACACAGAAACACTCTTACACACAAACCCGTTTACACACAAAGACTTTTACACACAGAAGCTTATACACACACATTGCCGCTGTCACACAGAAACACCTTTTACACAGAAACCCTTCTGCACTCACACCACTTTACACAGAGACGCTTTAACACACAAACCCTTTTACACACAGACACGTTTACACACAAAAGCTTTTACACACAAACCCTTTTACACAGATTCACTTTTACACACAAACACTTTTACACACAAACATCTTTACACAGAAACACTCTTACACACAAACCCGTTTACACACAAAGACTTTTACACACAGAAGCTTTTACACACAGACACTTTTACACAGATGCTCCGGGACAAGTAAAATCACAATTTTCCTCAGTTTTTGACGATCAACACTCATTTCGTGCGAAAGGGTTGCTCCGGGACAAGTAAAATCGCAATTTTACCTCAGTTTTTGCCGATCGACCCTCATTTCGTGCAAAAGAGTTGCTCCGGGACAAGTAAACTCGCAATTTTACCTCAGTTTTTGACGATCGACGCTCATTTCGTGCGAAAGGGTTGCTCCAGGACAAGTAAAATCGCAATTTTTCCTCAGTTTTTGCCGATCGACCCTCATTTCGTGCAAAAGGGTTGCTCCGGCACAAGTAAAATCGTAATTTTACCTCAGTTTTTGACGATCGACGCTCATTTCGTGCGAAAGGGTTGCTCCAGGACAAGTAAAATCGCAATTTTTCCTCAGTTTTTGCCGATCGACCCTCATTTCGTGCAAAAGGGTTGCTCCGGCACAAGTAAAATCGTAATTTTACCTCAGGTTTTGCCGATCGACCCTCATTTCGTGCGAAACGGTTGCTCGGGGGCAAGTAACATCGCAATTTTACCTCAGTTTTTTGCCGATCGACCCTCATTTCGTGCGAAAGGGTTGCTCGGGGGCAAGTAAAATCGCAATTTTACCTCAGTTTTTGCCGATCGACCCTCATTTCGTGCGAAAGGGTTCACGTTTCGTGACTCCCCGCCGGCACCACCCTTGGCCTAAAGAGAGAAAGATAAAGAAGGCGAGAGAGAGAAAAGGGAGAGAGAAAGGAGAGAGAGAAAGGAGAGAGGAAAGAGGAGAGAGAGAGAGAGAGAGACACAGAGAGAGAGAGAGAGAGAGGGTGTGAGTATGTGAAGATGAGCAGATGTGAAGATGAGAAGATGTGAAGATAAGAAGATGTGAAGATGAGCAGATGTGAAGATGAGCAGATGTGAAGATGAGAAGATGTGAAGATGAGAAGATGTGAAGATGAGAAGGTGTGAAGATGAGAAGATGTGAAGATGAGCAGATGTGAAGATGAGCAGATGTGAAGATGTGAGAGAAGGTGTGAAGATGAGCAGATGTGAAGATGGGCAGATGTGAAGATGAGAAGATGTGAGAGAAGGTGTGAAGATGAGAAGGTGTGAAGATGAGAAGATGAGATACAGACCCCCACTATTGGAAGAACCCTGCGCTCAGACGCTCTCGGGAAAAATATCAGAACAGTAATTTGAGCTGTCGTGGTACTGAGGTCATGTTATGAAAGTTATGAATTGCGTAATATAATACATGCCTTCTTCTCAGAAGTACACGGCGATAGAGAACAGCACAACAACCACGCCCCTGAAGCATGGGCCAATGATCTAGAACAATCTTTTTCGGAATGTCTCATCGCACAGCGTCATTATAGTATCAAGTTCACCAAACGAAGTTGCGCAAGTGGCATGTTTGGCCTAACAGTTGAGGTTGGAGCCAAGGTTTTTGCCGCTGTGAGTCTGTGAGCCCTGTTGCTGTCTCAAAAAAGACTTTGGCAACGTGACCTTAGCCTAAATGGAAGTCCTGAAGGCTTCTGATGTGGATGTATAAAGGCATTTTGAACGCCGCTCGCGTCACCAACCATGATTTTTGTTGTGTATTAGGAATGCAATATGGTGGAATCAACACCAATAAGCTCCTTTGCTCCTTGCAAAGCACAGGCCAGTTACACTTTACACTCCACACTTTACACTCCACACTTTACAGTCCACACTTTACACTTCACAATCCACACTTTACACTTTACACTCCGCACTCTACACTCTACACTTTACACTCCACACTCCACACTTTACGCTCCACTTTACAGTCCACACTTTACACTTCACAATCCACACTTTACACTATACACTCCACACTCTACACTCCGCACTTTACACTCCACACTTTACGCTCCACACTTTACAGTCCACACTTTACAGTCCACACTTTACACTTCACAATCCACACTTTACACTTTACACTCTACACTTTGCACTCCACACTCCACACTTTACAGTCCACACTTTACACTTCACAATCCACACTTTACACTATACACTCCACACTCTACACTCCGCACTTTACACTCCACACTTTACGCTCCACACTTTACAGTCCACACTTTACAGTCCACACTTTACACTTCACAATCCACACTTTACACTTTACACTCTACACTTTGCACTCCACACTCCACACTTTACGCTCCACTTTACAGTCCACACTTTACACTTCACAATCCACACTTTACACTATACACTCCACACTCTACACTCCGCACTTTACACTCCACACTTTACGCTCCACACTTTACAGTCCACACTTTACAGTCCACACTTTACACTTCACAATCCACACTTTACACTTTACACTCTACACTTTGCACTCCACACTCTACGCTACACTCCGCACTTTACACTTTACACTCCACTCTCTACAGTCCACACTTGACACACCACACTCCACACTTTACACTCCACACTTCACTTTACACTTTACACTCCACACACTACACTCCACACTCAACACTTTATACTTTACACTTTACACTGTACACTCCACAATTTACACTCCACACTTTACACTTTACACTCCACACTTTAGACGTTGCACTCCACACACTACAATCCGCACAGCACATTCTACACACTAAATTCCCCAGTCAACACCCCACTTTCTTCACACTCCACACTTTGCACTCCACCCCCTTCCACATGCCACAGTGTCTACAGTGCACTGGTAACAGGGGAAAAATCTACAAGACTGTTCAAATAACTTGTTTGACAAGAGTGTTTTATGTGACTGCATTCGGGTTAACTAGTGGGCTGCATCTTGCTTTTTTACCTCAGTACTCAGTACTGGCCCCTCATGCACTGAAAACGCCTGGTCAGCCACAGAAACCAACAAAACCAACAAAAACCTTATTGGATCCCGTGAAGAAATTCCCAACGCACATTGCCCAATCAGTCACCAGAAACTCGGCTGCTGGCGACGACATGGTCAGCTCCCAGGGGGCAAGTCGCTGAGGCTGAGGCGCATCTTCCCACCATTCAGATTCGCGGTCTCCCCCCTCTTCCCACTCGCTCTGTCCGAACATGGCCATGTCAAACCTTCTTGGCTGGGCACTATTACTAAAACTTATCAAACGCAGTATCCAAAGCTCCTCGATGGTGATTCAAAACAGCGGCAAGGCAATGTAACTGATGTGGCAATGGCTAGCTCCGAAGGGGATACAGTTATGACCGAATTGTCAAACTACTCAGCAGCATTCAGCAACTACTCCATTCCCTGCCTCTGCGCTTTCGCTTGAAGGATGCTCTTACACCTTGCTCTTTCAGCGCTGGGGATGAATGCCGACCGGCCTTCCAGCTTCGCAGTATTCTGCAACATCTTGCCACAGTCCAGGAGTATCTGTCCAGGGAGAATGCACCTAGACACCGTATCAACACAACACACTTCATTGTTCCAAATGGAAATCTGCAATCCGTGGCCCAATTCTTGCCATGCTTGGCACGTCTGTGCCAGGCTGATCACATTTTCTTTACATGCTAAGCACACGCATCATGAGGCAAATGCCTTTCTCCTTTCGAAGTAATCACAGACCATCATGTTGAGCCTTTTGCGGTGCACTGTTTGCCTCAGAACAAAGAAAGCAACTTTGATTGAATCAAGAGTCCACGGCGGAGTACAACTGTCTTCCGTGACCTAAGGCCGCGGCCCCTCTTTTCTTACTTCAAATACGAAATGATTCTTTGGCTAAATGCGGGCAGCTTTATCGATCCCAAAGCATAAGGTTCAATATAGGTTCAATAAGCTTCAAAACTGATCAGCGAACGAACAGGAGTTATTCAGAAATTCAGAATTAATTATGAGCAAATGGAGCATAAGCAGAATCCCCAACTTCAAACCGCCTCTTTTGATTCGCAGGTGTCGCTCAAGGTCATCACAGGTTGCTGTCGGAATTAATTTCTGCGTCCGTGCAGCTGAGGGGTGCCAGGCTTAAGGTAACAACTAGCAGGGTGGCAGCCAGCGCGAGCATCAGTGAAGAGATGTTGGAATCTGCTACATCTGCAAAAGAATCAGAAGCAGAATTATCCGAATGGTGCACCAGGACCATGAGTTCCAGTGACACCAAAGAGCTACCCAAGTAGACAATGGAACTCAGCAAAGACGAAGCCACCCCGGCAATGTCCTCGACTCCGCAAGTAAATTGACAAACGGATGAGATAAAAGGCGTATAAAGTATGAGCTGCACAAAACAAATGCTGACCAGGAAGGAAGTGAGACCAGTGAGGCCAGTGCTGCTGTTTGTCTCGTCGCCCCACGCTAGGCAAACCATAGCAGCCGTGACAAGAAACAATGGCAGCAAAGAGCCGCGGATCGCGCGCATGGGACCGCAAGGCAGCCAACTTGGCACCAAGGAGCCAGCGAAACCTGCGATGGCCATGAGAGTGATGCAAATAGAAGCGTGCCAAATCGACAGATGAAAGTGCTGCCGCAAAGTGAAGCCATTGCTTGCGGCCAGCAAATCCCAAAAGCTCTTTCCAGCAATGCACGCCACCAAAAGCATCAACCGGCTTTTTTGTAGCAAAATGCGACTGGCACATGTCAAATAGTTCCTCAGTAAACGCACTCTGTCACAAAAACGCAAAAAAAGAGTTCAAACAAGTTGGATCGCTTTGCCATGTTGAATTCTTGTCTGTCACATCTAGCTTACCTGATTCATATGCCCTTCCAATTCTCCTACTCATACTCAAATCATTCAGTGAGCCCCTCTTGTCATCAAAAAATCGCCTTAAAGCCTTATCCAACTTACATCTGAGTCAAGGCTCTGTGCAAGATGCTGGGATGGCGCAGTCTCTTCAAGTGTCCAAAAGCTGCAAACCAGGACAACAGCAGATAGCCCACTCAGCAAAAAGAAAGGACATCGCCAGCCTGCGATGTTGGCCAAAAAGCCACCTCCTGAAGGGGCTAGAATTGGGCCCAGCATCATAACTCGGGTCAAAACAGCCTGGTGCCACAAGCGATCTTCCATAGATGTCACGCAGTCTGGAATGGCGGCCAGGACCACAGGTGCCACAGCTGCGGCTACACCTTGGAAGACTCGTCCAATCACAAACCAGACGAATGTGTCAGCACATGCGCAGCAAAAAGTGCTTGCAACAAGCAGCACCTGGCAGCACAGAATAATGATGCGGCGGCCGATGAAATCCGACAAAGGCCCGAGAAACAACATGCAAACGGCTGAGGTGAACAGGTGAATTTGGATCGTCGCACCCATAGCCACATCTGACACACCAAACTCTTTGGCCATGTCCGGCATGCTTGGCTGATATTGATCTGTGCAGAAAAAATCCAGGCATAGCGTGGAGGCAAGCAGAATGAGCATGCCAAAACTCATCCCGCGTTCTGGCTTTTCTTCGTGCTCGAGCCGCTTGGAGGTGTGGAAGGAAGCCAGCACGAAAGCAGCCAGAATCAGCACTGGTGCTGCGACGATCATGATTTTGGAAGCTAAACGTATTGTAGAGCCAGGCCCGCTAGGCCCGCTAGGCCCTATGGGCTCTGTGTTCTTCCCATTGCTGTCCAGAACCTGGAAAGCAACCTGCAAGAAGTGGGCCCAGTCTACTCCCTCGCAAGCTTCGCAGGCTTCGCAGGCTTGAACCATGCTGCGTGGCACATGTATGAAAGTTTCGGCAGCGCCTTTCTGCGTTTCTGAGCCTAAACGTGCTACAGGAGAGTGTAGAGCCTTCTGTTCAAACTCTCAAGAACTACACAAGCGGTCAAAAAAGATTCTTCAAGAACCGTCAAGAAGGGGCCATATGAGGGCCGTGGGCCTGCAACTCAGCAACTACAACCTGCGCATCTGCTCCCCTCAAAATACTCCTAAGGTAGCATCTTTAAAAAAAACTCCTGGCTTCTGGTGCTTCAACGCATCGCTTTTGAAATTCGGGTGTCACATGCAATTGGACTTTGGCTCATCAATTTGTAGCGCGAGACAATCTCGTTGAAATGGGTCTGATGGAGTATACCATGGCAATGACTCCCCAATGCCCACGACTGCTAAACGACAAAATAAACAGAGTAAACGACTTCTCTTGCGGGAAGGACAATGAAACCTTCACATCTGAGATCGAAACTTGCAACTGCCAGGATGATCCCTGCTGATCCTGCTGTGCTTAAGTACAGTAGGGCCGGGGTGCCATGGGATTCATGGGATATGCCAAAACTTCCCAAACTTTCTCCAAAGTAAACAAAGCCTCGCAACTGAGAGCCCCTCTCAACAAGCACTGAACACACGTACTTGCGCATCTCACCTGCGCACCCCGTAACAAAGGGTTCAACTTCTTCCTGTTCTGCGGAACATGACATGGTACAACGGAGTCAATAGAGAATGGAACATGAATCAACCCGTTTGGCGATAACCTTGGCACTAATTCACGTCATCTTCTGTGCGCAAAAAATCCAACTTGCAATGGATCTTTTGCAATCATTCACAATACATCGAGTGCAGGGCGAGTTAAAATTCCACAAGAACTTATTTTGCGAGGTTCCTTATTGTAACCTTGCCAGATGGATGAAATCAGTCGTAAACGGTGCAGCACGGAAAAAATACTGTGGATCGAGGCTAGTGGGCAAAGTTCGATTCTTCAAATGGACAAAGAAATAAAGGCTCACAACGAACGTGGGATACCACTGATGGGGAATTGGGACAGAAATCTAGACTGCCTATTAGGCAATGCTCTTTTTACATGTTTAAACCTCAAATCAGCTTTACTTGTCATGCTGCCACCGCGCCTAGGCGGTTGAGGTTGCAGTGATGGAATGACGTGACGTAATGGATTCGAATTCCTAAAAGGGATCACTTTCCACTTCCCTTCAAAATGAGGCACCGTGACCAAGTACCCCCAAAAACGGTAAAAATATGTTCAGAACCATTCTCAAACCTTTCAAATTTCAAAAGAAGGTATGGGTGGCAGATTGGCGGAGTCCTCAAGTTCGAAGATGATCTTGGCTGGCACTAAGTCCCTGAGGCGAAGCACATAGACCAATCGTCTTTTGCACAGGAAGAGCCATGAATCAGAATCAAAATGCCAAGCGAGCAAAAAAATGGGTGCAGGTTTTTGTGTTTTTCTCCTGGATGTTGTCTTGTTTTTCAGTCTGGGGCACCATCGCTGCTATTTTTGTCCCCTTGCCAATTCACCCCAGAGACCTGGGTGTCGCAATTTTATAGGGAACCCCGTGTGTTTACTTTGGAAATGCCCAAAAATGGGTATCTATGAAATTGAAGCCCTGAACCTGCTAGTAACCCGTCAACATCATCAAGTCCAACAACACTACAAAATTGGGACACCCAGGTCATATGAAAAACTGTACTAGCTCCAAATCGACCTCTACTGTATAAAATTGGAACCAACCAACATGGTTTGATCATGGTTGTTTTTTTAAAGTAAATTTGGTGTCCCAAGTTGATTTTTTTGGGCCCCTATATTTTCCTTCGGTTACGTGGTCCCCAATTTTATATCAGTTTAAGTAAGGCCCCAATTCTGTAGACTCCAGTTTTGGGGTCATCGAAGGCACCAAAGTCAAACCTATTCAATCCCTTGGGTAAGCTGGGAAAAAAATTGGGATATTTTGGTGCACTTTGGGGGCTGCCATTTTATTGCCTTCGAATCTCGGGTTCCAATTCTATAGGGGGGGCGCTCTCCTTCACAGCCGTGGTGTGAAATGAGGCTCATGTGGCAATTAAAAGGTTTTACCACCCCTTTGATTTCATTCTAAGGGTGTGTTATTCTCTTTAATTATTTTATAATGTATTAATTACTATTTTTCATTAATTTATATTAAATTGTATTGTGTTAAACTAGATGATATTTTATTATATTTTGTAATGCCATCATATTATAAACCAAGAAATCCGAGTTAGATCCAATTGGATGATTTTGGAGGTAAATATTCTGCACGATATGAGTTTCCACTCAATAACATATATTAATATATATATATAATATACCTGGAGCCCCCTGGAAAGTATCTTTATACTACAAGTTGTGGATTATATATAAATCCCATGCTGCTGTGTAGGTCATACTCCTGAGCGGTTGTTTACGTGCATGAACGTTTTTTTTTAACGTATCTCCAAGCTTGCTCCAAATCAACCCCCAAAACAGCTAAAATTATATGAGCACACTAAAAAACACATGTTGGCATATCATGCACATGTGTTCATCTCATAGCAGAATAATTAAACCTAGGTTTTGTAAAACTAGCCCCAAACACCAATTTATACGCAACACAAAAAGGCGCAGTCCTCAAGTTCTTGGATGATCTTGGCTGGCACTGTGCCCCTGAGGCGAAGCATATAGACCAGCCATCTCTTGAACAGGGAGAACCATGAATCAGAATGAAATCGCCAAGCGAGGAACAAATCTTGAGAAAAATGTTGAACAACTTTGAAAACCGAAGATAGCACCGATGCCCCAATCACGCCAAGTGGCGGATCCACATTGAGCATCTCTAGAGCCTGCTGGATCTAGGATTCAGATATTTCGATGGCGTAGATTTTCCAATCCTATGGGCCTATATATTCCGGCCCTGGCATAGTTGGCGCCCGAATCGTATCATTCTCAATTGCTTGGACACTGGAGGAGTTGGCGTGTGCATGTAGCAGCTGAACTCATACCGGCCGTCTGCAAACTGAGACACTGCAAACAACAATCCCAAGGGACAAAAGGTTATAAATTCTGATGAAATCATGTCCGCTTGCCACACGTTGAAGTGGATTAGTTCAGCCTTCTGTGCTTTGCCAGAAGGGTCCATGCAAAGGGCCTTGACAACTCAAGTTGCATATAGTTGCAACCACTGAAATCAAGCAGCACCCTAACTGCTACGGATGTTTCGCGCCATGCGTTCATAAAATGAAATCCAGATTTCTGAAATGAACCGATCGCTATTGTTTAGATTGTTGGGTCAACAATGGTCCGGGTGAAAGCCAGCCAGGCGAAGATCTTTGCGACAATCAAAAAACCAGGTGCTGGCATGGCAGTTTTGGATAAGCATGTCCAAATTAAGCAACAAGTGCGAAACCAAAACGAACAGCAAAAATCAACCAATGAAAAACAAAAAATACGTGGCAGGTCATGATCATCCACCAAGCTGAGGATGCCGCCATCAAAACGTGGGCGTTGCCAATGGCTTTGAAATTCAAACCTTCGGCCTAAACTTCATCAGAACTGGGATGCTTGGCAACTTGCGCACGGGGAACTTTTCAACGAAACCACAAGATGAAAGTCTTGACACCCGATTGCTGCAACTTGAACAACTGTTCTCAGTGAGTTTGCCGCTGTCCGCACTGGCCTTGTCTCCCATCACCGTAATGATGGCCCTCTCTTCGGAAGTGTAACTGGAATCCGGCAAAGCCTGTGGCTGCCACGTCGCCATTCTTCAATCTTCACTGAAGTTCCTGTTGTACTCTCCAAATTTTACCAACCAGACACACCACACTTATATACTAACCTATACTGGCCTATACTCAACACACGTGGCCACCCAGTTAGCATCCTTTGTGGGGAAAATCGCCTTTTCGGTGTGCGGTGCATGCTCGGCGATCTTTGCCAAATCCTGGCGATGGCCCGTTCCCGAAACAGCAAACTTAAAATAGCAAGGCCTTCGAAAGTGGAACTCGACATCCCATGGGCCTCCACTGGACGCCACATTTCCTTTGTAGCGTTTTCATTCGGAGCGTTTCGACATTGTGGAACATGATGAATCCGTGACCAAAAAACTTATCGATCTTCGGGAAAAAAAACAACGCATGTGTGTGTGCATGTGTGCTTCTGAAACGCAATGAGAAGCTCTGACTTCACATGTAACTTCGGTTTCGCAGCTGGTTTCGTCAGCTATGAAAAATGCGTTCACACATAGGTTCCCGTGCCCCTGGCCTCATGATTGTGGCAGCAACACTTCCACTTTGAGACATTGCGTTCCAAAGCATCATTTCGACCGGCACAGCCTCACAACCTGAGCGTCAGAAACAGGAGCATCAACTGGCAAAGGCTCCGGTTTGCGAAGGGCTGGGATGCTTTGTCTTCTCCAAAGAAAGTAGTATTTCTATAGTAGCGGACAAAACTATTTGTTCCCCGTAATTGCCACGAGCAAAACTCGGTCGTCCCCTATCGGTTGTGAAGGTCTTCGCTTTTTGATAATGTTCAGCAGCAAATGCTTCTACTAGTACTAGAACTATAGTAGTAGTACTAGTAGAAGTAGTAGTAGTCGTCGTCGTAGAAGTACTAGTATTACAAGAAGCAGAAGCAAAAGCAGTAGCAGTAGCAGCAGCAGCAGCAGTAGCAGTAGGAGTAGTAGTTGTAGTGGAAGCGGATGTAGCGTCAGCAGCAGCAGCAGGAGGAGAAGTAGTAGTAGTAGTAGTAGTAGTGTGATGATAGCAGTAGTAGTAGCAGTAGTAGTAGTAGTAGTAGTAGTAGTGTGATGATAGCAGTAGTAGTAGTAGTGTGATGATAGCAGTAGTAGTAGTAGTAGTAGTAGTAGTAGAAGTAGTAGTAGTAGTGGTAGTAGTAGTAGTAATAGCAATAGTGATAGTAGTAGTAGTAGTAGTAGTAGTAGTAGTAGTAGTAGTAGTAGTAGTGGTAGTGGTCATAGTCGTATAGTCGTAGTAGTCGTAGTCGTAGAAGTCGTAGTAGTCGTATACAGTCGTATACAGTCGTATACAGTCGTATACAGTCGTATACAGTCGTAGTAGTCGTATAGTAGTCGTAGTAGTCGTAGTATACGTAGTATACGTATAGTAGTCGTAGTAGTCGTAGTAGTCGTAGTAGTAGTATAGTCGTAGTAGTCGTAGTATAGTCGTAGTAGTCGTAGTAGTCGTAGGAGTCGTAGCAGTCGTAGTAGTCGTAGTAGTCGTAGTAGTCGTAGTAGTCGTAGTAGTCGTAGTAGTAGAGTACTTAGTCGTAGTAGTCGTAGTATAGTCGTAGTATAGTCGTAGCAGTAGTAGTAGTAGTAGTAGTAGTAGTAGTAGTAGTAGTAGTAGTAGTATTAGTAGTAGTAGTAGTATTAGTAGTAGTAGTGTGATGATAGCAGTAGTAGTAGTAGTAGTAGTAGTAGTAGTCAGTAGTAGTAGTAGTAGTAGTAGTAGTAGTAGTAGTAGTAGTGTGATGATAGCAGTAGTAGTAGTAGTAGTAGTAGTAGAAGTAGTAGTAGTAGTGGTAGTAGTAGTAGTAGTAGTAGTAATAGTAGTAGTAGTAGTAGTGGTAGTGGTCATAGTCGTATAGTCGTAGTAGTCGTAGTAGTCGTAGTCGTAGTAGTCATATACAGTCGTATACAGTCGTATAGTAGTCGTAGTAGTCGTAGTATACGTATAGTAGTCGTAGTAGTCGTAGTAGTCGTAGTAGTCGTAGTAGTCGTAGTAGTAGTATAGTCGTAGTATAGTCGTAGTAGTCGTAGTAGTCGTAGTAGTCGTAGAGTAGTCGTAGAGTAGTCGTAGTAGTCGTAGTATAGTCGTAGTAGTCGTAGTAGTCGTAGTAGTCGTAGCAGTCGTAGTAGTCGTAGTAGTCGTAGTAGTCGTAGTAGTCGTAGTAGTCGTAGTAGTCGTAGTAGTAGAGTACTTAGTCGTAGTAGTCGTAGTATAGGCCGTAGTAGTCGTAGTATAGTCGTAGTAGTCGTAGTAGTCGTAGTAGTCGTAGTAGTCGTATAGTAGTCGTATAGTAGTCGTATAGTAGTCGTATAGTAGTCGTAGTAGTCGTAGTATACGTATAGTAGTTGTAGTAGTCGTAGTAGTCGTAGTAGTCGTAGTAGTCGTAGTAGTCGTAGTAGTAGTATAGTCGTAGTATAGTCGTAGTAGTCGTAGTAGTCGTAGTAGTCGTAGTAGTCGTAGTATAGTCGTAGCAGTCGTAGTAGTCGTAGTAGTCGTAGTAGTCGTAGTAGTCGTAGTAGTCGTAGTAGTCGTAGTAGTCGTAGTAGTCGTAGTAGTCGTAGTAGTCGTAGTAGTCGTAGGAGTCGTAGTAGTCGTAGTAGTCGTAGTAGTAGTAGTAGCAGCAGCAGCAGCAACAGCAACAGAACCAGCAACAGCAGCAGGAGTATGAATATGACTATGACTATGAGTATGAGTATGAGTAAGAGTAAGAAGGATAAGAGTAAGAGTAAGAGTAAGACTAAGAGTAGGAGTAGGCTTCAGGGTCAGAGTAAGAGTAAGAAGAGTAAGAAGAGTAAGAAGAGTAAGAAGAGTAAGAAGAGTAAGAAGAGTAAGAAGAGTAAGAAGAGTAAGAAGAGTAAGAAGAGTAAGAAGAGTAAGATGAGAAAGAAGAGTAAGAAGAGTAAGAAGAGTAAGAAGAGTAAGAAGAGTAAGAAGAGTAAGAAGAGTAAGAAGAGTAAGAAGAGTAAGAAGAGAGAGAAGAGTAAGAAGAGTAAGAAGAGTAAGAAGAGTAAGAAGAGTAAGAAGAGTAAGAAGAGTAGGAAGAGTAGGAAGAGTAAGAAGAGTAAGAAGAGTAAGAAGAGTAAGAAGAGTAAGAAAAGTAAGAAGAGTAAGAAGAGTAAGAAGAGTAAGAAGAGTAAGAAGAGTAAGAAGAGTAAGAAGAGTAAGAAGAGCAAGAAGAGCAAGAAGAGCAAGAAGAGTAAGAAGAGTAAGAAGAGTAAGAGGAGTAAGAGTAAGAAGAGTAAGAAGAGTAAGGGTAAGAAGAGTAAGAGTAAGAAGAGTAAGAAGAGTAAGAGTAAGAAGAGTAAGAGTAAGAAGCGTAAGGTGAGTAAGAGTGAGGGTAAGGGTAAGAGAGTAAAAGTAAGAGTAAGAAGAGTAAGAGTAAGAGTAAAAGTATACGAGTAAGAGTAAGAGTAAGAGTAAGGGTAAGAGTAAGAATAAGAGTAAGGGTAAGAGTAAGAGTACGAGTAAGAGTAAGGGTAAGAGTAAGAGTAAGAGTAAGAGTAGGAGTAGGAGTAGGAGTAAGAGTAAGAGTAAGAGTAAGAAGAGTAAGGGTAAGAAGAGTAAGAGTAGCAAGAGTAAGAGCAGCAAGAGTAAGAGTAGTAAGAGTAAGAGTAAGAGTAAGGGTAAGAGTAAGAGTAGGAGTAGGAGTAAGAGTAAGAGTAAGAAGAGTAAGGGTAAGAAGAGTAAGAGTAGTAAGAGTAAGAGTAAGAGTAAGGGTAAGGGTAAGAGTAAGAGTAAGGGTAAGAGTAAGAGTAAGAGTAGGAGTAGTACGTGGGGCATGGTCTTGGCAAGTGAAAAAAATTGCAAGATTGGGTATCGGTTAGCATCGGTTGGGGTATTGGTGGGAATGGTGCATGAATTGCCGCAAACAATACTCTTGGTGCTCTTTAAGAGGAAAGCTAGCTGAGGTAGCTCTTTACAGCCCTGCTTGTAGCTGCTGCTGTAGAAATAAACGCCCTACTCCAGATTATTGTGGGAGCGTGTGGAATCTAGGGGTATCGGTGCTGGGTCGTCCCCTATCGGTTGTGACGGTTTTGTTGAAGGCAAGCAAAGTTCAAGGCAGCTCTCTACTAATTTCATTTTGTCCGATACTCATATAATTATATATATATATACGGCTATTCAGGATTGCCCGAACAAAAACCTCATCTTCTAGCTTCTACGTTACGTAGGTCCCGGGCTGCATCGTCGCCAAGTGTGACACAAAAATGGCACACAGGAGAAACAGGGAGAAAATGCTCTGGTTTCTGGGACTGTTTGGTGTTTCCGTCTCTCTTGTATTCTGTCACTTTCTTCACATTTTGTCATGGCGAAAGCGGTCAGAAGAAAATTGAAGAGAATTAAGCACGGCTCGAGAAGTGCGGCAGCGTTTTTCTACGGAATTGGCTTGACCGTTTGAGCATCTGCTTGACCAATGCGTGTATGTCATGCTTGGGCCTGGTTAACTTTGATTTTCTCAAGCGTAACTAGGTATAGGCCATGGTGCTGGATGTGGATGTTCAGAGTCATCCCTTGAGCCTTCATGTTGAAGTCGGGGCATTTAGAATATGGTTAGAATCGGCTAGAAACATGGCTCTGGCTTTGGCTCTCTCTCTCTCTCTCTCGCTCTCTCTCTGCCCCCTCTCTCTGCCTGAATGCATCGGGCTGCGGAACCGCTTCATCTGGTCAGCAGAAAATGACTAAGTGGCCACCGGCAAAGCTTTTCGAGCAGTGAAACGCTCCTCATCCACCGCGTCCGGGTGGCTGCTTTTCAACCAACTTCCAGGACGGATGAACCTTCTGTGGGATCGGGCAGAACTTTCCGTCAAAGGGAACCTTCAGTGCAAGTCGCCCACCACTTTGCAAGCCCCAGGCCCAAATGTCACCAGTATCTGTGACAGCCATGGAATGTGCGTAGCCACAAGCAACTCCCATCACTTCGGGGGCCTCAACAATCCTGGCCTTTGATTTTAATTTCCCAGACTTTGTGGGACTTTCAGGAGGCGCCGTAAGCTCTGTGTCAGTGGGCTCCTTGGAGTCTTTTGCTTCTCTTCCGGTACTCTCTCTCCCTCTCCACCCTTTGCAAGATATCAATGTGGGTAGTGCGTGGTCTGGTGACCCTCCACCAAGGCCAAGTTGGCCTTTGCTGTTGTCACCCCATCCCCACAAATTTCCTGAGCGGGTCAGACAAAGAGTGTGATTGGCACCGGCTACAACAGTCACAATTTCGGGCTGCGCAGCCCCCTCTTCAATTCTTCCGAAGAGCAACGGAGTTGTGATGTGGTCTGATTCGCAGACAAGATAGTCTCGGCCACAGACCCACAGCATGGATCCTTCACAAATCACACATGTGTGAAAAGAGCCACAGGTCACGTCCAGGAATCGTGGAGACCCCTTCAAGTCTGAGCCCAGATCTTGCAAAACTTGCTCAACCAACTTCGGCGAATATTGATTATTCATGTCACCATGCCCAAGTCTCCCAAACCACCCAGCACCAAAAGTGAGAAGTTCGCCATTGTTGCCGATGAGAGCTGTATGTAAAGGTCCACAGTTCACTTTCTTCACTCGTGTCTCCATGTTGATCTGCTTGGGAAAACTCATGGCGCTGCGGATCATGCTGGAACCATGTCCCAGCTTTCCACATTCCGCATTGCCCCAAGTGTATACCTCACCTCCCGGTGTAATGCCTGCAGAATGATCTTCGCCGGCTGCCACTGAACTGGCCTTAGCCAATGCAGCCACAAAGGTGGGTTCGCAGGTATCCGTGGTGGTGCCCAAGCCCAATTGACCACGATGGTTACGACCCCAACTGAAAAGCTCCAGGTTGGTGGAAATCATCAAGCAATGTTCCATGCCCAAAGCCACAGACATCACTTTGATCTTCATTCTGGAGATGGGATCCACTGCTGAAAGCAAGCTGGGCTTCCAAATGTCTTCCAGTTCTGCCGAAGCATTTTGCCCATACTCACCATGACCCCAAAGCCAACAAGAACCATCCTTCTCGACCGCTGCTGAATGCATACCACCACAGGCAATGAGCTGCAACTGAGCATGTTCTCCAACAAAGCCACGCTTTTCTTGGGCTTTTGATTCCCTCTTCTGCCACCCAAGGAGTGGGTTTCCGGCCACAAATATCTGCATGGGCGTGGGCTGGTCACCGGTTTTCAAGTCATCTGCTATGGAATTTCCAAGGCCCAAACGTCCTAAGCTGCCAGCTCCCCAACTGAACACTTAACCTGTGCTACTCAAAGCCAAAGTGTGAAATCGACCTGCTGCGATCTCCACGATGCTGTGATTTTTCAGTTCCTCGTCGTCCAATTCCCGAGCTGTCTCGATATCATCATCCTCACAATGTCCTGTGTACAAAAATCCACCCCAACTCCAAATGCGGCCTCGCGTCAAAGCCAGGCTGTGACAAACGCCCAAGGCCACCCGAGAACAACTCTTCCCAATCATCGAAGCCACAACTTGCGGAACCAAAAAATCTGTTTCTTCTCCATGTCCACAGCGACCAAAAGATCCAGCTCCCCAACACCAAACTTGGCCCAGAGAGTCGATGGATGCAGAATGTGCCTCGCCAACAGCTACAAATTTGAACTTCGCTTCGGATCCTTCAGCCACTTCGCTCAATGAGATCTTCGTGGGGCGCATAGCAGCATCACAGGCTCCGTGCCCGAGGCGGCCATGTCCACCATGACCCCAGCTGAACATGTCACCTGGCAAACAGTTGAACAACATTGAACAACGATTTTGGGCAAGTGGAGATTGAAATTTGGAACATGTTCCGCTATAAATTACGCTGCTGATTGTGCATGTTCCAATAATTTCCAATAATTTCCAATGCTTGGGACTACAAGAGTGGAAATCGAAAAGGATGGTGATGCAAGAACGCTACACCGACAGATAGACTCCAATGCCAATGAGGACACAAAGCTAAACAGTCAAGACAAGATTGAACTAGAGCAAAACTTGGCAAACGAATATCCAATGATATCATGTCTAGTAGAATCGAATTCACTGAGTAAAGATGCCTGGGCGTTCTGGAATGGAATTTTATGCATGCAGGCTGTGCAATTCCAACTTGCCATTGTGTCCGGTTTGCATGTCTGTTTTTGTGGCTCGGAAACACAGACAAATAGACAAGGGAGAACACTGGAAGAATTGTTCCGTTGCTTTGCATGGCCGGTATAGCCCTCAAGCTTTGAAGCAAAAAACATGATTCTTTGATAACCTTGACTCACCTTGTCAGTAGACTCTGGTAGACGATCAGAGAATTTACGAAAAGTATTGAAATGTGCTTTGATTGTCTTTCTATCATTTTCTATTTATGTCTTTCTGATGTTTTTTTGATGATTTTGATATGTTTCAAAGGTGTGCCCGGGTGTGCCTTGTGTGCTGAGTGCCATGGAGTGCTTGGTGCCAGCGGCCACTTGACGGCAGGGCACGTTCTCCGGCATCTGGACCAGGGCGGGCTCATACTGATCGCAGATCAAACCGGTGCCCAGATTGCCATAGCTACCAACTCCCCAGGCGTAGATGGATCCATCTTCAGTCAGTGCCAAAGTGTAATCTGTACCGCAGCTAATGGAAGCTATCCGACTTCCGAACTTGACTCTAACTGGTATATGTAAACAAACTCCACTTCTTGTTGTCACCAGTGAGAGATTGAACATATGCTCTGTTGCTCATCAAGTTTGTGACAGCATCAGCTGAACACCTTGAATTCTTCAAGATTTCTTGGACATCCGAAGTCTTCTTTGGACGTTTGATGCCCAAACGGCCACCATTCCCCAGGCCCCAAACCCAAACTTGTCCACATTCTTCACCTGGTCGTTTTTCCAGGATAGCACAGTGGTTTCCACCACAACTCACCTGGACCACATTTAGTCCAGAGAGATCCTCCAGGACAAAAGGCTCAGCTGAAAAGAGATTTTCCTCTCGACCTGTCGAATCGCCTGGTTGAACTTCCTTTTGGTTCAGTGAAGGCCATTGAATACACTGCAACGAATTTCGATGGGCGCCAAAGCTGTAGCAGGAGGACTTTTTCCCTTTCTCGCCTTTCTCGCCTTTCTCGCCTTTCTCGCCTTTCTCGCCCTCGGCTACGCTTCCTTCATCACTCTCATTGCTCAGCACCAAGCTTTGATAAAACCCGGCTGACAGATGAGGAAGTTCTACGAAGTCGATACTCATCCAAATGTCGAAATGTCGAAATGCCGTTCGAGTCACTGGAGTCGCTGACTGCCAATCGGTGGCACCAGCAGCTCAAAGAGAATGCTCACCATATCTCACCATTGCATGCTACGCTGCTACGTGTGTCCTACGTGGAGATCTTTGCTCCAGCTCATAATTTTGAAATATGAGATGTTGCAGAGTAGAGGACTGAAGCGCCAACAACGCAAGATTTCTTCTATGAAGAGCAAAGGCTCATATGATTTGCAAGAGCTCTGCAACATGCGCTTGTGATCTCTGATCGTCGGATTTTGAGGTCCGACCTGATCTGCATGCGGAATTTCGGTCCTTTTTTCTGAATCAAGTGGTGCCCGATCCTGGTTTGTATGGTTCCATGCCTGAAGGATCATTGCCCCTGGCACTCTTATGTTTCGCCTGAACAAAAACATCACAGCTGCACAATCATAACAAGGTCAAAGAATCAAAGACAGAGTCTCAACAGCAGTCAACCTGAAACACACATAATTCACATAATGAATCATGATCCAAAGATCGAAAGATCTGCATCAATCTGCATCTGTATTGGATCCAGCATTCGGGTGGAGGAAGGCACTGCCGCACTGCCCTGAAACGCTTTCGATACCACGCCTGCAAGCTGCCGCGTTTACCCTGCTCTGCTTCAGCAATTTTCACTGCTTGCAGCTCCTCAAGGAGCCTGGGCACAGGGCAGGTGGAGTGCACAATGGCGCAATGGCGCAAAGTGGGACAGGTACCACATACGGGTACCACCTGCACTGCACCTGGGACCTGTGAGCAGCCTGAATTGGAGATGTTGTGGGATGCACACGAAAATTTTGTGCTTCTCTTTGACATGGCGCAACGGCGCATACGTAGCAGCCCATGCAACGTGATGCAACGTGATGCAGCACATGGTCCAAAGTGGTCCCAAGTGGTCCCATGTTTCAGTCACGACTCTCACTCTGTGCAACTCAGCAGCTTGGTCGTGATGAATCGAACGTCATGAGCAACACCCCGCTTCTCCTCTTCCTCTTGCCTGGCACTGGTGCAAAACGCCATTGCCAATTCATGCCAATTCAATACAGCTTGAACATGGGTTTGAACATGCGCTGGATCTGAATGATTCTGAATGGAGTTGCGGCCACTAACCGTTACTAACCATGGTCAATCACAATCACAACCAGGCTCACTGTTTTTTCAGGATCTCAATCTTCTGATCCAGTAGGATGAGCCTGAGGGTGAGAGTCCAAAAGCGCAAAGCGCACTAAAACGGTAAAAAAAATAAACGGTCTTAACATGACTAAACTAAAGCAGTTACTGAAGTAACATGAAGTAACTAAAGCACACTCATTCTATGCCAAGTTCTTGACTTCTCTTCTCTGTCGAAGATCTCATTGCTGTATAGCCTTGTCACAGCGCAACGTGCAATTCCATGCTCTGCTCTGCATCTAAACACAATCCCTGAGAAATAGCTTTTCTTGCGAACAAATTTACCCTTGTTCTAGGTGTTATCAATTGTAGTTTCGATACCTGCTTTGCTGGTCAACCGAGTCCCGTTATGGCGCAGCAGCGACAGCACGATTCATTTTCCTTCAAGGGGCGCTTGAGCCACAAAGGGCGTTTCAAGGTACATTGATACATGCACATGACACATGTTCTAGCGCCTAGTTCCCTTTGACACCCCCCATGCCCGTGGTGTCCTTCGGACCACGGACACGAGAGAGGGAACTTTGAATTAGAATGTTTCTGCTACTTGAATTACGCCTATTTACATAAAACGTGCCATTCGGCTCCCCCTTTCCCACATACCCGACGGGAATAATGGTTCCGGGTTCGCCTACTCTATGGCTGTCGATGCAATGGCGCCTCTTCAAGCTGTACACCGTGAATTATTGCTAGCTAACATCTACTTTTCTACGTTGGCTAGGCATGCCACTCACCCGACGGGAGAAATGGACCGCTTCGCTACCAAAGATTTACAATGCTAACTAACGAATTCACGTGCACTGTGCAGAATTTCGTGCAGATTGGGAATATTGAGAATCTCGGACCTAAGCGAATTAGTCTACTGCCTCGCTCAGAGTCCACTCAGTTGGTCTTTTCCTGATCATCTGTTCACAAAGACGATACACATCTTATAGTCCAGTGATCATTCGGATGGACAGAGGTAATTGGTTTACTCCTCACGGCGGACTTTCTTCCATTGGGGTGTAGTTTGAGATTTCTCCCATCCTGCCGCACGTTTCGGAGCAGCTTTCGGCGATGAAGGCTTCGCAGGTGGTGCTTTAGATGGTTCATAGGACCTCGGCATAGCCTTAGCCTTTGGTGCACTGGCTGAAGATGATGACGCTGAACCAATGTCTTCAGGTTTCCGTGAAGGCTGTGCTGATGACTTGGCTTTCGCGTCTGCTGTGGCACGCTTGGCGCCGGCACTGTCCCCGACTGCTTTGAATACTTCACTTACCACTTCGTCCCCCAGGTTTGGAGCCATCTTCATTTTCATCTCGGACTTTCCCCTCTGCGCCTCGGCCTCAGCCAGTTGAATAGCATAAGCCATCTTGCTGACAAAGTTTTGAGGTAATGGAATGCCGCATTGTTGGGCAGCAAAGAGTAGTTCCACCCTTTGTTCCTTTTCTCTCAGACTCAGATATACCGAGAAAGCTGGGAGTTCAATGCAGTTGGGGAAGCCGTGGCTCCCGGAACGAAAGAAGGTATATGATTCATGTTCTGGAAAAGTTCCTTTCAGCAGCCGTCGGAGAAAGTTGCTGATGGTCACTCTCATCTCCTGTTTTCCCTGTGCATCAGCCTGCATCCTATTCATTGGCATGAGGAAACCTAAGGACTCGGGAGTGTACCCGGCACATACCAGAAACTCCATCATCTTTTCGTAAACCTCTAAAGTTTTGATGACAGGCATCATCATGTTTCTTGGTCGTCCAGAGTACATCTTCTCTCCCTCTGACCATGAGTTCTTCTTCCCTTTCTCCTGAAAGAGTTCGTCCAACTCCAGCTCCGTCGGTCGCTTGAGGTTGCCATCCTGATCTTCGCCTGTGTAAGGGCAGAAGTCATCCAGGTCCAGTCGGACTCGCTTGGTTTCCGTCATCAGCGCATAGTATTCCTCTGGGGTCAGAGTGACTCTCTGTTTATAGTAGAGTCTGAACATTGCGATGATCTTTGACATCACGGCGTTGTCGTACAAGTGAGCCGCGGCCTCGGAAACATCATTGTTGACAAGTCCATCTCCTGGCAAACCTTTGCTTCCGCACGCAAGGTTCTTGGTCCATGCTGGTAGCTTGGATGAAGGTTCATTCTCAGGTTCGACGTCCATTTCATCATCTTCTTCTTCTTCAACGATCTCGTCGTCTTCTTGCTGAGTTTCCTCCTCCTGATCCATTTCCTCATCATCGCCTTCGTTGTAGTCGACCTCGTCAGGGTTGAAGCCATAGTCGTTGGATTCAGATACGTTTTCTTGTGCTTGATGGACCGTATCCTTGAACAACGATTCTTCTTGTCGACGAACCTCTTCATCGAGCTCTTTCTTTGTGGCCTCATCTTCATCGTCTTCAGGAGCTTGTAGCCGATATGGTCGAATTCCGCAGCTTTCAAGTTCTGTCCAACAAACTAGACACACTGCTAACTTCGTCGGCGTCTCATTGAGACAATGAGGACAATGACGGCAACCTGAAGTTTGCACCCTTTTGCGTTCGACTATGTAGTCAATCAGCTTGATGCGGGCCAGGTATTGCTCTTGTCCGCCAGGCTCAATGAGATTGTTCCTGAATTGGTTGACGATGTTCATGGCATCCATGGTGATCTCGTCATACGGTTGGTCTTCGGCGTCGATGCATTGACTCGCGACCCTCAGGATGGACTCCTTGGTGGCTACAGTTCTTGATTTGACAGTGCCAGACCGGACTACCTGGTCGTCGCCCGACGGAACGAACAACCGGAGCCATGTCTTATTGTTTTGATCCTTGGGATCCTGAATCCATCCTCCTTTGATCGCTGAAAACGGGATGATCTTTGGCGAAACGATCTGTCCCGAGTCGGTCAATCGACCACCGTATTCCACCATCAAGGTCTCGGTCGGGATGAAGAGGCAGATGTAGTCCCCCTTTCGCGTATCAACGCTCTTCGTAATGGTCCATGATCTATGGTCCCATGGCACATATGGGTTGAAGAACGTAAACATCCGATGACCTTCTCCAAGACCTCCCGGAATTAATCCTTGCCTCCAAATGCTTCGGAGGTTGGTCTTCTTTGTGATGTGGAAGCAGACCGGTAATGACATGATGGTGTTGGGTGCGATTGGATGCGAGAGCAACGATGACAGCAATGAGACGTCATTTCTGGAGGATCCTTCCTTGTGTCCCGTTGGAGCTCGGACTGCAACTGGATAGAGCAGTAGCCCCTCGTCGGGGATGTGCGTGTCTGCATCGACTTTGTTGTCAATGCACGTCAGGCTGCTGCGATCAATGTCCTTGTTGATCCCGAACGCCAAGACTTGTTCACGCACACGACGTCCATATCGAGCACAGTGGAACATGATCTTGAACAGCAATGTCATGCGATAGTTCGCCTCATTGACATTCCATGCACTTTGATCATTTGCTCTTCCTTTGGGGGCGAGGAAGACGTGCGGCCAGCGCGCGTACTCATGTCTCCAGATGGACTCACATTTGAGCACTTCCTCGATGGGCACCCAGCCGGCGTCGTCACAAAATAGACTCTGTGATTCTGATGCCTTCCCCACATTGTGCCGCAGGATCCTGTTCAGTGAGGTACTCACCTTGTCCTCATAGCTGTCGAGCCGGTTGCCAGTTTCGAAGCGATAGTTGGCCGCATATTCCACACCGCCAAAGTAAAAGCAGTTGAAGAAATGGGCTCCCGTCGTAGGGATGATTTTCAAGAAACCATCTTGCGGCGCCTCGATTCGCTTGTAGAAGGGTTTTCTGATGTTGTTGTCAGAGTAGTTTGCAAGGAATTCTGGCACTGACCAAGTGTCACCTCCTCCTCTGACAATAGCGTCCCGGATCACTTCGTTGAGATCAACGACGTTCTGTGGTCCCAGCTTTGTAACATCACGCCCTTCAATGCAGAACCTACCATACTCATCGAGGTCTCCGACTTCGGACATGGTCCTGATGCTGTCGTACCACTGGTGTTCACTAAACCTCGCTTTCGTAGGTTCATCCGTTTGCCCCGACCCTTCAGTAGCACCTGATCCGTCCTTTTTGTGCTCAGGAGGTTCCATATCGACGTCATCAGATGTGGGACTATCAGCCTCGAGCGACGCTCGGACGGCCTTTAGCACCTTTCTGACTTCATCCTTCTTCTCATGTTCACATTCAAGGTGACCATGTTTGGTGCTACCACAGTACAAACACACATTGACATCCTCAGAGACGGTGAAGAGTTTTCCCAACGCATCCAAGAGTTGTTGTTTTCCGGAAATCTCTGAGTCCCTGACTACATCAGTGGGGTCGTTTGCTGGCTCATCAGCTTCCTCCTCCCCAGGGTGAGCCGACGACTCGTCACCTGGCTTGGCATCGGCATCAGCGCCCATGCTGGCGTCATCCCCTGTGATATTGTGCTTTCTTCGATACTGAGAGAATACCTGATCTTTCTCCCACTCTGTGAGGCAGCAGAAGTTTGCCAGCGATTCATATCCGGGGATTGCGTGGATGATCTTCATGACCCTTTCGGCTTCTGCAGTTTGCAGGGTGCAGTCGAATGATCCCCGTCTCTTGTCATTGATGGTGCTTGTAGTTCTGGAGGTTGATGTGAATTGAGCCAATGCCTTCTCCAATCCGTTGAGATACTCAGCAGGATCAAAGCTGGCATTGAAAACATTCACAACTCCTTTCGCCATGTTTGCCACATCCAAGACACCAAGCCAAAACTCGATGATATCCCCAGTTTTCTCGGCTGATGCACGGGAGAATCCAAAGATCTCGTTCCTTTCCTTCACCTCAGGAACAGCGACCTTCTCGAAGAAGTCCTTGTACGCGACATTTCCGCAATCTTTCGTGACCCTGTAGACCAGGAGCCACTTCTTCGCGACTTCATCATAAATTCTTTCGCGGTAGATGCTGAATTGTTTGCCGCGTCCATTCCGGAAGATTTCCAGAGCTTGTCTCTTCGATACTCTGACTCCCCCCATGTGCGATAGAGACTTCATCAAGTGCTCCCCATACGTCAATAAGGCATTTGAAATCAACGAAGATGCCGTAAACGTAAGCCATGTCTGAAATCCTTGATTGATGTCAACAATGTCGACACCAAGATCTTCGAATGCGACCTTCAATCTGGCCGCCAGGAGTAATACGGATTTCCTGGCCTCCAATGTTGGAGCGGAGCGCTTGTAGTGATCTTGGGTGTTGGCGGAGCAGTTGATGCAATGGGTCGGTTTCGCCTGGCATGTCTCGATCTCATCCATCGTCACCGCATTTCTGCAGCTTCCGCACAAAATGTCGGAGCTCTCCTTGTCGATGGTGAACCACATGCATCGATCTGAAACAACTGGTTCCAGTTCATGAGTGCCGACCACTGGTTCAACCCACCGGGTCTTAAACCTCTTGTCCTTTGTGAACCTGTTGATGGCGGTTCCAGGGCCTCGTTGGAAAATGGTTGTGTCATCGTTCGCATAGTCACCTGGGGTCATTTCGCCACTTGCGATTTTGAATGCCTCAGTTGGTCCAGTCATATCCTGCAACACTTTTGTGTTGATGCCAGATTCATCAGGTTTGAATGCTCCTTCATTGAGTACGGATACATACTCCCTGTTTGTGGCACACATGAGGAAAACTCTTTGGCGAAATAGGTTCTTCTCGATGACAGACCAAATTGCAGTCTTTCCCAATGTCCCCTTTTTGGTCGTGTTCAATATTGGGTACTGTTTTCCAAATTGGGAATACATCGACCGCCACATTCTCTGGTCAGATGTCACTAAGATCCCTTGGAGCCTCATCTTCTCGATCAGCTCAACTGCGATTCTTGATGTGACGGAGTCCATACCGTTGAACATGGAGTCATTGTTGATGGCGACCATCAAGGGCCGGGATGTGACTTGATCAAGGTCGATCACCCCCTTGACAAACTGATTCTTGAAATCGTTCTCGAGCATTACACAGTGGGGTGGCTTTTGTTCATGGAGGAACTGCAATGATAACCAAAGATGAACCGTTATCTGACCATCATCAATGGCATCCGTGTTGAGATGTTGCTTGACCTTGTCAAGCGTGTCGAGGAATTGTTGAAGTGGTCGTTCAGATTCAGAATCATGGATCTTGAAGACTTCAACACTCTCCCATCCCATGTCAGCTAACCCCATTTGGATGCCATGCGTCCCACTTTGGGTTCCCACGCGGAACATCAAATCGGTGATAAGGATGGTCGTCCCAGCCCTGAAGTCACCTGCCAACATGTCAACCTCTCTTGGACCGCTCGGTGCCTCGATGATCCTGCATGCAAGCGGGTTTGTGATCATCTTCTTGATTCGGCCCAATTCGGACTGGTTGGCGACGTTCACGTCATGGTGTCCGAGCATCATCAGCATTCCTGCCGTTGACAGGTAGCATCCAGTCCGCGTCAACATGTACTTGCGGACGATATGGCTGTAGCATCTAAGCCAGTCCTTCTCGGAGATGGTGGATGCTGTGTCCTCACGCACGACCCCCGGATTGCAAACTCCGAAGACCATGCAGGCGTATGCGGTCACTCTCCTCAAATACTGTGCCCAAGGTGCTGATCCCGATGTACTGGCAGCTTGAGCTGCGGGGCCTTGGATGATTGATAACCCCAGGGGATCGAACGTAGGCAAATAACATTAACATTCACAAACGTTGGCTGTGGGAACAACATTGGGTTATATGATGGCTCCGTAGGCGAAAAACAACTACATTCAAAAAGCCATAAAAAGTCATAAAAAGTCATAAAAACCATAAAGTCATATATGACTTTTTGGGGGGCAATTTCACCCATACCACACATGCCCATACCTCATTTTTTTGATCACAGCTCGCGCTGAGCGTACTGGGGTGAAGGTTCTGTGTTTCAATGTCTTGAGTCGCAGCATGAATCTTCCCAATACTCGAAGCTCCAATAGTCGTCGATGACATCTGCGGGCTAAGCCCTTACAAACACCAATGCAATCTTCGTCAATGAACGTATGATTGAAGCGGCAGTTCACTTTTGTCACCACCATTGCCAAATTGATTTCTTGGAAAGCCTGAGTTCAAGGCACCCCGGGGCCATTGTATGAGAGTACCATCCCTTTAAAATTATAAAAAAGTAAACAAAAAAGTTTTAAAACATGATCACCCAAACTTGGAACCATGAAGCGTGGTGTTTGGGCCGGAGTGGCCACTGTAGAACTGCAGCACGTTGATACCACTTGGTCAGTGCCCGCCATCGCTTCAAGATCCTGGCTGGAAACGGCACACTAGGGCAGAACAACTTTCAGGATTGAATGGGGCCAGGCTGTCATCATATCAAAAATGTTTGGGCAAACAAACAATACAGCAATATTACCTGCAAGGAACACCAACGATGTGTTCCATATGTTGTTCGCTTCTTCTTCCGAAAGATATCTCTGGGCTGATTCAACCAAATGAAGCCACTCGCACAATGCAGTCAGGGTTCCATACACTAAGAGCAGCACTTCTGTAGGATTCGCTTGATCATTCACCAATTGTGCAATTTTCTGCTGTAAAAAGGCTACCAGTATCCTCCCAGCATATGCTTTGATACGCAGTTCTGGGAAATCGCCAGTCTTCACTATGAGCAATGCAGCGCATATGGGGTGTTGGTAATGCCTTGTCAGGGAGCCACATCAACTAACTCAAGATGTTTTGTGATGGTGTTTTGAACAATTAATATACCGTGAGCAAACAGCAACATTCAAACAAACCTATGCACCCTTGAGGATATCAAGCCTGATCTTGTTTGATTGGCACCATTTGTTGAACTCACGGGTCATGGATGCCAGTTTTTCGCTCAAAGTTTCTCCACCTAAGAAGGCAACACCGGCAAGTAGAATGCACAAAAAACAATAATAACCAACATGAACCAGCACATTTGGCACACACCATGGCTGCAAGCAAGACACGGAAGACCTGGTAGTCATTCAAGAGATGGATTGTGCTTCCGTTGGCAAACTGGAGGAGGCCGAGATGAACAGTATGCATGCCTGGCTAGGGTCTGTGGGCTTGGCTGGCCACAGTCATGGTTATCAGTTGATTTGAACTGCAGGGGTGTGTGTGTATGTTCAGCCAAGCAGCTGCAATACTTTATCATCCAGGGACAGAAACCTGTGATAGCCTAAGCAATGCTGATGATTGATTGGGATCGATACAAATTTGAAAAAAAAACAGGCAGCAAAACATCTGACTTGACTCAAAACCAGGAGACACATAGTGGGTTCACATAGTTTTTCAAGCTGTAGAGGTACCACTGTGGCACGGTCATCCTGGGAAAGCTTTGCATGTCTTCAAACATCGTGTACCTTAGTGTTTGCCAACAGAAGGCCACACATTTTTAAAGTGATGGTGTGTTGGTTTCTGTTCACAAGTGTTTATCAGGTTTTTCCAGCTTGAGATATAGTTAATGTCACATGTCACCCCTCAATGCAATCAGAGTACTGGGTGGGTCCATGAACTGTGCTTGCGAAGCAAAGATGGCAAATCTCTTTGCATTTGTAATGTCGTTTCAGACACCACAGCTCACGGTGCCACTTCCAGTCTCCCCGGATTTCTGTCAGGGAATAGCAGCACCTCATAGACTTCCCTGCAAGCCTAGCTCGCTTTGGATCCAATCGATCTCCGAATGGACCGATGGTAGGTTGCTGCGCAACATACGCTGCCTGCAGTTCTTGGCAAGGACACCCAAAGGTGATGTCAGTGTTGCTGATTTGATATGATTTGATGTGGGTTAGTAGATATAGATAGATAGATATAGATAGATCGATCGATAGATAGATAAATAGATCGATCGATAGATAGATAGAAATATAGATATAGATATATATCTATCTATATACATGATCTTGAGTGTTGATGGGGTAAATATCAGTTTTTGTTTTTAAAAGGTAAACAATGCCTGGCACAATAATTTTATAACAGGTCTCAATGCCAAGACACGTTAAAGCTCCAAGCTGCCACACGCAGAACTGGGTCAAGGGTCTCTGGTCCCAATGACAGCTCATATCTCAAACAGAAGAATAGGAACCGTGACAGGTCCAATCCTTGGTTGAAAGGCAATACAAACATGCACATGTAGCTAGCACTTATCACCAACTTCACTTCTTGAGGGATTCAGGGGTACAACACAGGTTAAACAAAAAAAACCAGGGCTCGCATGACAGTCTGAATGGGGAAACTCAGCAGCATGCAGATCAACTTCGCACCAGCAAGTGTATATTTGGCATCGTCCCCAGCAATGCCCACTGGCATGTGTTTTTTCTCAATTGTTGCAGGGTGTTGGACCGGTTCATGTTTTTCCCAGTGGGCCCAGAAGTCTGAAATGTCCTTGGGGTCATAGTTGATTTTGCCACTATCCTCGGGCGCAATGAGGTTCTGATGTCTCAGTATCAAAGGGAACAAGGCACATCAACGGCAGGTGTTTGATGTTGAGCTACCTCAAAAAAATATACAAATTGTAATTAAAGGGACATCTTGCTTAGATCATATGGTTAAACTGCTGGAGTGATTTTTGTGTCAGGTTGTTTGCTACTTTAATATATTGGTGAAAGGTGCTTGTAATTGCTCCTAATTGGATAGGGGTCAAATTAATCCAGCCTTCTATCTTAGATTGATATAGATTGATGTTCATCCTTCCCCCAAGAAGGCCCAGCCTTTGAATGTTGTTTCACCGATACCCCCAACAATGAAAGGCAAACAAGGGCTTATACACCTGGAGGGCTTAAGGACACATAATCCCACCAACCACTGCTGACAAAGCCACAACCAGATAGCAGATCAGTTCATGGGGCAATGCCATAGGGATTCTTGCAGTTGTTTTTGCATTTTCTTCATCACTGGTGAGATCCTTCACAGGAAGCTCAACGAAGTACATATCCTGGGCTTGTGCAAAAGCACTGATGCCAGGGCTTTTATGGTGCTGGGACAAGCCTACACCAGTGGGCAGGGTGCTAACACTGGAACTCTTTGTGGCACCTGGGCGCTTACTCTGAAACCTGCTTGAGCTATGGTGGGCTACACTGATGGCAAAAGAGTTCTGCAAGAAGCGCACAAGAAAAGAAGATGCCAAGAGACAAGAAGATGAGGGGCCAGGCTTCACCGATCTTATTTCGGCCAAGGAGCAATTGGAAGTTCCAATGAGCTCATCAAGTCGCGCTCCACATTGTTGGGATATTTCCCATAGCACCCACATTTTGCGATCTTCTTCGTCAGTTCATGGCAGTGGCCTTGACTTTCCTGAGCTAGTAAAGAATAATGGGTGATCACTACATCATATTTTTTCAATTCAGCTTTTGGTTTCCTGGCAGCAAAACTAAAGAGAACAACAGCCAACGTTAACAGCATCCATTCAGATATTCAATGTAGTCCATCACCCTGTCCACATTGTTGAACAGTATGTGCTTTAGCTAATTTATAATCTCAATACTGATATGTTTGCATTCCTGCTTGAGAGCATGACTGCTTATAGACTTATAGACACCAAAAAACATAAATCATTATCAAGCTGTTCCATTATCGGTAATGCTTGCAAGAATCCTTCACAACAGCATGGGCCGCTTCTTGTAAACCAGCTGCCGAAGCTGCCTCAATAAATTCCACATAGCAGGAATCACCAAGCACCACCCCATTGGAATCTAACTGACATGCAGGGATAACAGTCAATCAAAATGTTGGTTGGTTCTTCTCCTTGCACCCAAGCTACTCCCCGGCCAAGTGTAGAAAGCAGATGTTCACCGAAGCTGGCATCTGCGCAGGGGGTGGTTGATAATCAGTTGAATACATGTGTTTTGTTGCAAGAGTCCGACCTATAGATCATGTAGGATGTAGGCTGTGGGTTGGCCTTTTTCTGGCAGATCTCCAGCGCATATCTTATTGCATTTAATGCAACGTCTCTACCCAGCATCAATGCTAGGTGCATTGATCCTTGCAACCCATCTCCCAGGCCGAGGCAAGTATATATATATATGGATAATGTAGCAATGAAATAAATCTCATTCAATATATCTAATGGGGAAGTACACACGAATTTAATAGCAAATGGGGAATGTAAAATGTAGCTAAGTATGAAACGGTTCATGAACTTTGAGATAATTGTAATCCCATGTTGCTATGTCCCATGCCTCCAGCCTAGGTTGAACATAGAGAGACAGGTATGCAAACAACGCAAACAAGATCTAAGCGCTTTCCATATATCATCCCAACTTTCAAAACCTACGGCGGGTAGCCCAAGGCCATCCATCTACTCTGCAGCTGCAGCCTCTGGCTTTGACTTTGCTTTGGCCTTAGCCTTTGGTAGCAGGCTTCTCACACTAGAAGCAGCTGTTTTGTAGGTGCCGATGGACACAGTCAACTCTTCAATTGCAGGACGCAAATCGTCACCAGTAGTTCCCGAAGCCAGCTGTGCCTCGCAAGACAATGATGCTCAGGTATTTGATATATATAATAAATTATTATATATATATACATATATATATAGATTAGTTTAGTAATATAATGCACTATAGGTAGTACTGTTGTCTTGAACACTCAAGTACCCAAGATCTGACATAACCAGCCTGCCTCCAGTTTGGAACGGCTTGATTCCAAAGTTTGGAGACGCTTCTCAATATCATCAAGTGCAGCTTTCCTCATTGCTTCTGGCCTAGGCTCGTCAGTACATGGCTGAAAACCAATGAAGACTGGAACAGCCTGGGTCCTCAGGAGGGAACACTCCATTCTTCGCAAGAACTTGTCCCCAACCTCAGAAAGTTCAGCATTTCCTTCATGTTGATGCCACATTCAGGCACATGAAAACATAGAAATTGATCCAAGATATTGCTGGTTGTGCTTCATGTTGATGTTTGCACTTGGCCAGCATGACAAGCAAATTGATTTGTTTTATCCAAGCAACTTTTCGCTTCAAGAATCAGCCCAGATGCTGTCGACATAGCCTCAGCAGATCTCTGAGCAATCTACACAAAATCCTGTTTGGGTGGCGGTGTCTCCGGGAAATATAACCACTACAGATATATAGATTGATAGTTGTGTTTATCGATTGACAAGCTATAAATATATATATATTGTATATAATTTATTACTAATATTGACCATTAACCCCACCATTCATGAAAGCTGCCAAGGGACATTCTTGCCTTCCTGTTCTGGTGTTTTAGCCTTTGGAGGCTTCTTTTCCTTCTTTGGTTTCTTCTCTTCAGATTTGCCCTCGCCCCGGGAAGGTTTGTCACCTGGAGGTTTCAGAGGTGGCATGGGATCCTTTTCCCCATCGAAGAGGGTCTTTGTCTCGAAACCAGTGGGCATCAAGTTGGTCGGCTTCAACCTGATGTAGAGCAGATAATGTATGTGTTCGAAAGACTTCAACATCAACATATGCAATCATGTCAACAACATTAACTTGCAAAACAATGTTTCTAAGCACAAGGCATCATGCTGCCAGCAGTCACATTGTCAAGGCCACCCTCTTTGGATACCGACAGAGACTGGCTGACCTTCTGAGAAGATGTTTCCGAGGTGCTGTCCCAGCAAAGGAACATCTTCAAGTCCTCAGCAAGGCTGGGTCAGGGCTGCAGACCTTGGGGTGTCAGGGCCCAACAGATCAAATTATCACAGATTTCATCTTTGTTTCAACTTGTTGGGATTCTACATGTGGTTGTTTCTGAGCTCTAGTCTGGGACGTCAGGGTTCCATTCCCATTGGCCGTCACGCTCCTGAAAACAAAGCATATAGCCAGCACAAAATAGCAGCATTCAAAACAATATCACCACATCATGTCCTTTGAGCTGCAGATTCCATTCACCAATTCTTCGTTGCCATGGTATTTTTTCAGCAGATCCTTAATTGCAAAATCAAAAATAAAACAAACTCAAAGCATCCAGAAAGTTGTTGCACAACTTGAAAGATCATATAAAGCAAGCAACTTGACGGGACATCAGCTTGTAGCTGCCAGCCCTTGAGTGTTCACGTTCAGCACGCAAACTTGCCAGCAGGCTACTGCATGACCAATCTTCTTTCGACTGACAAAACTCCTCAAATAATTGCCATCGCTCCTGGTGACTTGCACGCCCACCTCAGTTGGAGCAAGTGTGGAAATATTGATTTTTTGTTTTCAAAACACACACACACATATATATATATATAAGTTCAGATATACCAAATTTGCAGCACTGACAGCCAAGACACCCTTTGCTTTGATAGCCTGCCACTTGGCAGCGATCTCAGGTGGACATTTATCACCTTAGCCAGCAGACTAGTCACACAACACTGCAGGTCATTTGGTGCAACTCATACATTTTTTGAAAATAGATTGCAAGCTAGGCACTGTTCACCGATCGAAAAAACCTCATGTAGCCATTTTTCAGTGCCTTTGCAGCAGCATCATCAGTTTTCCCATCAGTCTGCTGGGTGGGTTCTGCAGGTGCTGTCTGCTGTGGCTGGGCTGTTGAAGGTGCTGGTCCTGCAGTTTGCTGGTCTCCACTAGCTGTAGTCGCTGGTGCTGACATGCTTGGTGGCTTATGCTCTTGTCCAGGTGAGGCAGTGGCTGCTTGGTTCTTGTCAGCATCGTAGAGTTGAAGTCCTGCTGCAAGTGCTTGGTCCACTGTGAGGGGAACCCAAACTGGCTGACAAACCCCTGCTAAGTGCATCAGCACCTGTGTGTGCCCTGCCATGCTCTCTGCTGCCAAGTCCACTGTAGTTTTTCTCATCAAACACGCATGAACATCACGAGAGGTGGGTGAAAACTTGCGGTCGGTGTCAGGTTTCTCCTCAGGCTTGGTCTCAACGAGTTCCTCATGTTTTTGTTCAGGTCCCTTGTCCTGAGGTGTTGGGCCAAACATGTCGTCAAGTGCCTTCTGGAAGGATTCCGAGAATTCACCACCAAATGGTGACAAATCACTAGACTTCTCACCTTCACCAGCAGCTCCACCATCATGAGTGTGATGACCACTACCCTCAGGGCTTTTTTGCTCTGGAGTAGAACCCTGTCCTTGGTCTTGGCCGTGTTGCTTTGCACCATCGGTGTGTGCAGGGTTTGCTGTTGGTTCCGGGACAGCTGCTGCTATTGTTGGCATAGGCTCTGGTGTTTCAGTCTGACTGGCTGCTGCAACTGCAGACATAGGGGTAGCAGGCACTGGAGATGGCGGATACAGGCTCGAATCTCCGAGTTGGTTGTCTGGCAGCTGTTCTTCCAGGGAGGTTTGGGAATCAACCCTCACAACCATTTCCTCCTTCTTGGGTGTTTTGTCCACTGGGGCAGAGGCTTCTGAACATGTTGAGGGCCTCTTGAACTTGCTCCAATAGCTCTTATAAGCTACCACTCCAGCTTCAGACCCTTTCAGGCCAGGCACCTCTGAAGGTGAGGAAGGCTTCTGGGTATCCTTGTCTTCAGCCATCAAAGGTTCCAAAGCTCGTGCAGCAGCACTGTGAACCAAGCGCTCAAGCAGCTCACCCAAGCAAGCTGGATTTTCCATGAGCACGGGGTTTGAAGCCAATTGTTTCATCGCTTCTTGCACCTGAACCAGATGGTTCACAGAATTCACACACGATTCAGCCATGCTGTTGTTACAGACACAAGCAAAAGCACCCTACAACATCCAGTGTGACCAACCCCAACCATCCACCCAAAACACATGGGTCCCATGATGTATCGTACCAATATGTTGAACTATAGTTGAGTAGAATTAAAACACCCCAAACATTTATGTGGTTTTGGGATGCTTACACCTTGCACCAAGCAACTTCTGGCATGCAGGTCAGGGCTAGACCTGGTGTCTTTGATGGCATCGATGGGAGTGGAGGCACTGGAGGGCGGGCCACCTTAGTTTAATGTGTAAGACCCGTACATCCACCTATATTGTAAGTCAAATACATGTTGAATGGTGTGCACAAGTGCCACTATATTATATTATATATATACTACTAATTATCCAAGATACTGGCACTGCACTGCTGGATCCAGCTTCACCAGTTGCTGAAGGAGCCAAGTTGTCCACGTTCCCATTGGTAGTAGGGCCTGCAGCAAGGACAGGCTAACCAAACACCTGCAAACACTTCACACACACACAGCAGCAAACACTTCACACACACACAGCAGCAAACACTTCACACACACACACAGCAAGACACCACAAAACAGCAAAGACATTCACACACCACTATATTATAATTATATAATATATATATATATAAATAGTTCATAAACAATCATGATGTATATATATTATATTATCCACCCAAAAAGTACCAAGCCTGTAGGGGACAGGTCAATCTGGGTGTCCTCCACATCAACAGTCACCTCCATAGGTCCATTGGGAGTAGCCGGGAAAAGTTCCACAACGGGCGCAGACATCACCTGGTCTGTTGAGCTCGCAGTCGATGTTGTAGTTTTGGCCCCACTATCAGTTGACATGTGCCTCTTGGCATCTGGAGTCACAGTAGACTTTGTTGAAGAAGCTCCAAGGGGACTCGTTTTCAGGGACCGCTTCTGTGGCACTGGTGTTGTAAGGGCAGCAACAGAGCGTCGACGGGCCCCAGCATTCAAAGCTTCTTCCATGGCCTAAGTTGGAATTGGATTATTGTTTCAGCACAGGCCCTCACAGTACATGTGGTTTGCCTGACTATCAGTGCATGCAAGTAGCAGATGCCATTTCAGGATCCAGTGAGTCTGCACTCATGGCTGCAAACACCCCAATCTAGAGCTGACCAACCCTTCAAGAAATCCTGATCCCAAAATTCACGCAAATTCACGCGGTTTCACGCGGGGGGTTTTCATATATGACTTTTCTTCGTGAATGTGGTTTCCTGGTGCCTACATTGGGCCCAATGTAGCTCCACAGCACCTACATTCATATATGACTTTTTCCCAATTTCACGCGAAATCACGCGGATTCACGCGCCCATCCTGTTGGTGTCCAACAATATGGGCAATTGAATTTGGGCAACGCCTGCAGGCCACCCTCGAGTTTTCAATTAAAGCAAAGGCCGGGAGCCCATCAGGGGTACATCAGGCTGCCAACCAAGTGGATCATCGAAAGGAAAACCACCATATGAGGTTAATAATATTTTGACATTCAGAGGGTTAATCCACTTGTGGGGACAAAACGTCCAGCAGCAGCTTCATCCAGTAGGAAATTTCGTATTTCATCCAGCTGCGCATCTTTCCAATCAAATGGTGGTACCTGGGATAGTTTGTGACAATACAGCAGAACATAATCCAGGGTCCAGTGTGACAAAAATGGTTGATTTTTGTTTAGCCAAGGCACCAAGGGAGCCATCCCTGCAAGTCCAGCTAGGTCTGAAGGCATATCGAGTTCTGGAAGTTTTCCTTCAGCCTTACATGCAGTCAACATGTATGTTTTGGGTGATGTTGGTTTCACAATCAACATACATGGAGGAAACAAATGGAAATCCATCCAAGTGACCCAATCTTGCATGTAACAGTCGCAAATAAAGTTTGCAAATCCCTGTGGATAGTGAGCTGATTCAGATAGAGATGGCCCGCCACTCCTCAGACCAGCAACATCACTCAGTGTTCTTGGTGAACTGCAATATTCTAGTGCTGAATCTACAGTAGCAACAGGTTTAAGTTCCCCACACACGCTGAGAGCCAGAGCTGTCAACATACTTGTTCACCATTTTTACATCGGTGTCGTGCTTGTAGCATGCTAGTGTTTGCTTCTCCTCGAGCGACATGAATCCTCGAAGGTGGTGTATCCAAGACCTCACAGTTGGTGATATCCATTATGATGGTTTCATGATTTAATGGTGAGTTGTTGTGCTGAGGTGTGTGTAACATCCACGACCTTTGAGACTCCGACGGGCTCCCCAGAAGCCAGGATGCCTTTGGCGTCCTCCCACCATATAGTCCCATCCAACTTAGCTGCACTGAGCTGTCATGCATGTATAAAATAATTTAGCAGTCACCACAAACCCAACAAGCTCAGCACATATCGATAATATATATATATATATATTAATATATATTATTATATATTTATATTATATATATAATAATTATATATATATGCATACCAAGCAACAATCTTTTGAATCGAGTGTTCTCTTCCCCCATAGCCGCGATGACATGTTGCATATATGGCATCAAAGCCAGCACAGAGCTGCCCGGCTGTTCTACCTTGGATGGACAGTTTTGGATGTCTAGTGCTTGTGGGAATGATGCATGGGAAGCACCATGTAGTGTGCAGAACAAACACATATGAACAGTTGCCAGCTGATAATTATAATTCAAACTATGGCCCATTTGTGAATATTCACAACCCACAGGACATCGGGACCCCAGCTTGCTTTTTTTTCCCACCGGCGTGTGCCCTGCTGTGTAGTGTTCGCTAGAGCTCTGCATTGGTCTTCTTCCCGATCTTTTTCATCACCACACTGACAGCTGATATGCACCCTTGTGCAATTTGATGAGCTAAGACATGAGGTGGTGGTGGTCCAGGTGGGCTTTTTGGTCGCCTTGGCTTTGGCATTTCTTTCGGCTGAGGAACATTTTTCTGGCATGCTGCATCATCTGATGAGCATTCAGCTGCACCACCACTACCCAATGGCCCATCCACTTGGTGTTGATTTGATGACCAGCTGTAGTCATATTGGTGGCCTCCATGTTCTTGCTGGTCGCGACTACCTTGTTCTTGGTGTTGGTTGCCATACCCTTGGGATTCATCAGTTGCGTTCCAACTGTTCTGGTTCATCTGGTTGTAGTCATAGTTGCCCTCCCAATTGCTGTTCTCCCAAGACTGCCAGGTCATGGCACCATTGGTGTGCTCGCCCCACCACTCCTTGTTCACATCCTCCCAATCCTTGTTCTCATTTTCCTGATGAGCCACCGGTCGTTGGCCAGTGTGATCAGGTTGTACAATCACCTCTGGCTGTGGTTCTTCAGCACCTGGTTGAGGTACAGGTTCTTCACCGGTCTCTGCTAGTCTCTGGCCATAACGGAAAGGAGGATCCGGAATTGGAACTTGCACATAGTAGCGGTTGAACAACCAAAGGAACTCTGGTGGAACCAAAAACGGCCACAGTGGTGGTGTCGGCATGCCATTGTCCATCCATGATGGTGTCCAGCCAGGTACATTTGGTTCTGGATACTCTTGCTGATTTGTTGCCTCCTGGCTTTCTTTTGTTTCTGGTCCCACCCCTCCTGGCCCAGTCTGTGACTGCTGGTCCTTTTCTGGTTGCACCTGTGCTGATGCTGATGCGGCATTTTCTTCAGCCACATGGTCACCTTGTCGTGGTTGCACTGGTGGTTGCACTGGTGGCTGCACTGGTTCAGGGCACCGTTGATCATCCCCAAGCTCCGGAGGTGTTGGAACACCATCAACACCACAGGTATTTGTTCGGGGCACCTTGGGCTTCTTTCCAGCTGTATCCTGGCATTTGCGTTTTGTGTCAACCAGCTCATTGTCCTCTGGTTTCTTGGAGGTTGTCTTTTTTTGGTCATTTGGCTCTTTTGTTTTCTTGGTGTCTGGGTTCTTCTTTGTGTCCTTGTTGTGCTGTGGTTGCTTGGTGTCTAGCTTCTTTGTTTCCTTCTTCTCTGTGTCCTCATTGTGCTGTGGTTGCTTGGTGTCTAGCTTCTTTGTTTCCTCCTTGTGCCGTCGTTGCTTGGTGGTGTTTGGCTGCTTTGTCTCCGTGTTGTGCTGTGGTTGCTTCGTGGTGTCTGGCTTCTTTGTCTCTGTGTTGTCCTTGGTGTCTGGCTTCTGCGCTCCCTCATCTTTTTTCTTCTTCTGCTTGCTTCTCGGCTCCCCCAATTCTCGGAGGTATTTGGATTTCACAGCCTTTCTCTTCTTCTTTGTCACCTTGACTTTTCTTTCATGCTCCTTCTCATCAGATGTACTTGTGCTGCTGCTGGTGGACTTTGTTTTGCCCTTTCTCTTCCGCTTATCATCTGATCGAGCCATTGCTGCACAGCAGGGCAGATGGTGGATTATGGTGGATTATGTGAAAAAAGCTACTGGTGTAGCTGAGTGGTGTTGCAGTTTCTGCTTGCATTGAGGCTGTCCTGCATAGAAACTATATTCTCAAAATTTCTCAAACCAAGTGGATGAAGCAACATACATATATATATTATATAATAATTATATGTGCTAATGTTTGCCTGCTTGCTCATGCGGCTGTGGAGACACAAAGTTGGTTGTTTTCCTGCAGTGAACTTCAACTAACACATGTCGGGGTTGCATAACATAGATTTATTGTACAATAAGGGTTTTAGACACCCCCACAACAGGTTTCAAGAAATGGCATTGAACTAATCCCAAACCCAATATTCTTTTTTGCCAAGATACTGTCCAAAAGACTGATATCGAGATGCACAATATGAGTATCAGACTGAAGCGAGCGATCAAGATGTTGGACATTTGCACCAAGTGACGTCCTTGGGAGGCAAGGCAAATAAGTCCAACATGTTATTATATTCAGAAACCATTTTGATTCACACTTCACAACCCAAACATACAACCGCACAGCAAGAATGACACATTCCATACATCCAGGCATGTCACCTGGATGGCCCATGATGTAAAGATGCCTCATATGGGTTCCCGCTGACATGAAGATAAACCTTGGATTCCAAATCAAGTGCTTGCAGGCTAATATGAATACAAATCACTGCAGACAAATATAAACTCTAATTGGCCAAGGCACCCATTACAGGGGTGGCCCCCATGTAGGTAGCCCCCCTGCTTGATCCGAAGACAATCTCGAACAGCGCAGACAAATCCCTGTAGAGTAGCCAAGTCATTCTGAGCACCTCTATGGAGTTTATCAAACCACTGCCTCAGATCGCTTAATGGATCATTAACAAGCAATACCCACATGTTTTCACCAATATATTGTATTGATTGAAATTAGCAGCCCACAGTTTGTATGTTGCTTAGACCTGGGTTTCCAACACAGGCACTCCCCGACGTCCTTGGGATATGTGGGCCAGTTTGGGCTGGTTGGGAGGGTTTCCCATGTGGCCACAGAACACCTTCATTCAATTTTACAAGCAAGTTGAGGACTCCACTGAACTCCTGGTACAGCAGTCCATGTCCAGAAAACATCTCATAGAATTGGATGTCCTGAGTAAAGATGCAACCAGTTCACTCGTAATTGACAAGCTAGAGATGAGGATTTGTTGGTACATATAGCCCAGCAAAATAGTGCAGGGTAGTGTCACGCTGGAAGCTGCTACCATTCCAATCAGCACATTGTCCAATCCAATCACAAAGGTGAATCCTGAGGCCAAAAGATTTTTTTTGGGGGGGAACACACCGGAAGCAAAGCAGCATCTCAACATAAAAGTAGCCAAAACACAGGATGGGTGGTCCACCCAGCAGTAGAATTGTAGCCGCTGCCCTTGCACTGAGGAACGCCGGCTCATTACATGGACGAGGCATTGCTGGATGGAGAAAGATGGTCAGGTAACCCAGTTGTTCGATGGGGCTGGAAGGGATATGGATTGAAGTGGTGCATTTTTGTGTGTTGGTGTTGTTTCTTACGATGTTGCTGATGTTGTTGATATTAAGCTTCCCAAAAAATAAATCTAGATAAAGCTACTTGGTGAATCGAAATGAAACCAAATGGCTTTGAACAGATCGAGCATCAGGATTTGTGTTTATTGAATCTACTGGTGGGAAACACTTTGAAGTCTATGAATGCACACACACATACACCTTTTTTGCCCATCGCGATGTCGGCCAACGATCGATGATCTTCCCAGCTAAGATTTCTAAGATTCATGGACTGGCTGCACCAAACTGCATGCCACATTGCGAAATCAAGAATCAAAACGTTTCCCAGAAGACTTTCCAGAAGTGTTGAGAATACATAACATGTGGCTAGCAGCTTGTAGCAAAACACTGATCCTGTGAATTTGAAGGTTGCGTTGAATCACACAACTAACAGCTACGACCATTTGGCCACCTGCTTGCACAACTCCCAAGCCTGTGCCACACCGCCCCTTTTTTTGAAAGTAACGGTGCAACCATCGGATTTATTTACTGTCAAACCAGAGCCGGGGGGGAAGGAGTCGCTGCTGACACCATAGACGTAGAAGCTCTTCGCAAACCACCTTGTCACAGTTCAACAAGTATTGAGCAATTGCGCATAATTTATTCACTGCAACTAGTACCACATGATGTACATGTACATACACACACACAGCAGTGTCAGCCATTTGTTCCAGACAAGGCACAAGACACCAATTGCTAGCTTTCCATCACCAGCAGGTAAGGTGTAACTTTTTCGAAGCTTGGGGCCACTGAAGTCCTGAGGGATTGGCACACCAGCTTCTCGCGACTGAGCCTCCTGCAATGAGATTCATGATTAGCTGTTAGACCAGTGCCACATTGTGAGACATGCATTTTTTAAGATGCAACTCATTTGTCCGAAAATCCCCAGTCCTGTGCTGCCCAGCATTCCTGAAGCCCAGCAGCATCATCAGCAGCCACCTTTGGTGTCCTTTTCTTTTCCTTTGGGGCCTTCTGGTTAGGTGATGCCTTGGAAGGTGTTTGAACTGAATCACCCACCTTGCGCTTGGCCTCCATGGCCACCCTGGGTGGTGACTGCGGTGCTTCTCCCACACCCTTATCTGGCTTGGCATCACTTGCTGCTGACTGCAGTGCTTCGCCCACAGGCTTGGCATCACTTGCAGGGGCAGCAACATCACCAGAAGGCTTCTGTGCTTTTTTCCCCCTTCCCCTGCCACGTCCCTTCCCCTTAGGCTTGACATTTGCTGGCTGTTCAGGTTGGGGTGCTTCTGCTTGCTGAACATTTGGGTCAGGTTGTTTTCCCCTGGCACGCATAGCCTGCTTCACCTGCAGCGCACAAAGAACTGTAATTGCATAATTATGCATAATCACAAATAATGGATTTTGCAAAATAGTACGCACAGTACAAACATCCAGAAACAACCACACATCATTGCACGTAAAAGAAAATCACACCGGTCCTTCGACTGTGCTTTGACAATATCAGAATCAGCATCACCAGGCACTTCTTCACATAGTTTTTCCACTTGCTCCTATCACAGAACATGTATGACACACTTTGGAAGCATTCAGGGGCAGAGTCAGCTGTTCACAATAGTTTTTGCTTGCCCACACCTCAAAGGATTTATCCACAGATGCAATTGCAACCATCAGCGGCTTCATTTCCTGCAGGCTGTTTGATGTGAAACCATAAAACTAGTAATTAGTCAAGCCAGGTACTGGTACTTGTTGAGTCTGAAGACTAGCGCTCACATGACTGACTGAGGCTGGCCTTCACCGCTTGTCTTCGATCTTCAGGCTTTTCGGGGTGGATATCCTGCAGGGCTCAACACATGGGTCATGGATATAGTTCAGGTATAATGGCATCACACACACACACACGCCATCCAATAATTGCATATCATCATTTGGCCTGGTTGGGAAGCTCCAGATCCATCGGAAGTGTTTCTTGCTGGTCAGGATGGACAAAGAGCTCCTGTCCACAAACCCCACAAGCAGTTCCAACAACTTTTTAGTTCACCCAAAACCTATACCCTTGTCCAATTCTAATTTAACCAAGCAGAGTGTCCTTCTTCACACTTTGTAAACCTTGCAGTTCTTGTAGATCTTCAGAGCTCGGTGATTCATCCTCCTGTCAAGTCAACATGTGTATAAATATTTAATGATAAAAAATTATATAGTGTGTGAAGCTTTACAAGATATGCATGCATGCAATGCATGAACTATCATGAACTGTTGACATCAGAGTCCTCTTCGTCTTTTAGAGCAGCTTCCACTTCAGACTTCAACCGGGCATCCACATCACCTGCAATCCAGATGGAAAGATTCGACATGTTGTATTTTTCTAATATCCAATGCAATTGAATTGGCCCTCTTCATGTTGCCACATGTTTGGAACATATTCAACCCAGCCTTCCCCATCATTGGCCAGAGCTAGCCTGATGGTCCTTTTAATGATGATGACCGATTTTTTCCTGCCAGGATGAGGCATCACATATATTTTATATATATTATATATCCATATATATATATTAGGTATTTATTATATTGAGTTCAACCAAGTCAGAATATGGATAATGAATTACGATTGAGGGCATCCCAGTGTCAACCTGCCTGGATCCTTCTGACCTTGTGGCCAGGGTCATCCCGTGGATGGCCATTCCTCTGGCAATGCCAGCTGTGAGAGAAGCCCATCCCTGCCAGCATGTGAACAGCAAATTCAAAAACTACATATATATATATGACTCAGTAGAAGCATATATAGCCACATGCTAGTCCAGCAACATGCTTGCAAGCAACCTTGATGGACTTTTTCGAAGTCCGGGGAGGGAACAACCCATATCTCAAGGCACAGACGTAGAAGACCGCCTTTGCAGCACATGGTCACTAGCCAATCAGTTTATCATACAGCTGATCACAGTGTGCAGCAGAAGAAGAAAAAAGAGAAGATCAGGGTGTTGTTTTTCATTTGAATCCAAGCCTTGAACTTGGAGAGGCTTGGCACCCCCATTGGAGCAAATGTAGCGAAGAGCTCCACCAGGAAACGCCAGTTGTAGTCCAACTTAGTTGCACCACTTGGGACCAAGCAATATACCTTGCTATCATTTTTTTGAACATTACATTATTGATCAATATAATTAAAGCCAAGGCACAGCCTCAGCACATTGAGGCCCATTGCTGTCCAGTTCGAAGACACGCTTCTCCTCCAATGCATACAGGGGTACACTTGGTTTTTTATTGTGCAAAAAAACACCCAAGCTTTGACACTATCCACCCAACCCAGGTTTCACCCTCAGTCCTCAGAATCCCTTATTTTCGGGATACGCTGGGGGTCCCCAAGAAGCCACCCAACTACCACATCTTCCAAGAGAATCAGCAAAGGATCTTTGCCATGCTTTTTCACCTGAGTAAAACCCCATACAGTAGGACATCAATAGAACATTAAACAATCCACTGGTCTGATGCAAGTATGGGTTTCAACTATTTAGTCAAGTAGCAAAATGGCCAGCCAATGCTGACATCTTCACAGGAGAAACCATGATGTTGCGTGAGGCTGCTACCCCCAGCCCCCTTTGCAAATCACTGCCCTAAAAAGCCAAATGGCTTTTGAATACATTCGGACTATAAAATGCTCAAAAATGTTCTCAAACATGTTCAAGCACATCAATCCTTACCCACAACCACATCACAGATCAAAAGCAGGCAGGGGTGCTATGTGGTGGGGGTGCGCACCTTCCAGCAGGGTCGAACGCAATTGTTCTGAAGTCGATTGGTCAGGTGGCACCAAGGTAAATCGACCTCATTGTTGAAGAGGAAACCAATATATATATATATACAACAAAAAGCAAAAAAAAATGAAGAGTAAACACTCGTGGGACTCCTGCAGCAGGCTAAGTCCAGTGCATTGCGCAGCTGCCCGTTGCATCGCTGTTGGACAAACATCTTGGAAAATAGTGCTATACAGTTGTTGGCTTGCTGTGTTCTTCTTGCTTTCTTTGCTTTGATTGTTTTGCTTGCTTTGCTTGCTTTGCTTTACATGTTTGTTGTGTTGCTTGGTCTTGCTTTGTTTTGCTTTGCTTGCTGAGCTCGCTGTGCTTGCTGGGTGTTGCTGGGAGGTTGCTTGCAATGCATTTCAAATCCCACTTTCAAGATGTATGGAATTAGATGTTGAAATTTATGAATGTGTTTCAAGATTGCTGGTGCTTTGTTGTCCCCCATTGCCCCCGGACTGGGCCCAGGGTTGAGATCTAAATTGTTAATTTCTAGATCTAGATATACAGTGGATTATGTGTTTCAATTGAGCTATACATGAATCCCTATCTTGGGCCTTGGGTCAGCGGGAATGCATGCTATATATATGATATATATATATATAATATATATATTACATATATATATATTTATAAAGTTCATATATGACTTTATTGGGGGTCCATTTCGTGAACGTAGTCTCCCTAAGCCAACATTGCTCCGTATGCCCCTGGAACAAACATTGCCATGTAGGCAAATAGTGCTAGCACCGATCCACTGGGAACAGAAAGTGATCCCGTTCGTCCATCCAAGCAGACGTGATGAACTCTGAATTCCTTTGATCGGGCATTGAGGATGTCCTAAAAAGATATCCATTTGGTACCCGAGGAATTACCCAGTCCTTTCTTGCAGGAGGTGTCGACGGCCTTGCCTTCGATGGTGGAGCCTTCGGTGGTGGTGCGCTCCCAGCTGCAGAGCTGTAACCATCGCGTCCACCGGCGGTGGAACTGCTAGGCCCAGTCTGTTGTTGTTGCTGTTGTGCCCGCTGCGCATCGGCTTCCCTTTGTTGTTTGTCGTTCATCATTCTGATAGGTGAAGGATCCCAACCTGGATGATCCGGTTGACTTGGAGGGTTTCTGCCGTCTTTCGGCATCAGCGGGATGTCCCAGCCATCAATGTGGGAGACTTCTGTGGCCCCTTGGCCCATCTGGGTGGTGGCCGTGGTCGTCACATAGTCGCGAATACAGGAGAATGTCCTGTTTCGTTTCTCCACCTCCTCGAACATGCCCTGGTCGGCCCTCTCAATGTTGTAGCCCCCCAACTCCCATAGGTCGTCGCGGAGGTCAATGGCCTGCTTCATTCTGACCAGATCAGTCTTGATGATCCCGCTCAGGTATGACATGGATTTGAAGTTCTCCAATCGTGTCATCCACTCATGTAGCATCTTGGAAATCATGAGGATGGTTTGCAGATGGACGACGGCTGCCGTCCGCTCCAAGCTGAGATCATAGTTCATCGACATCCAGTCCTCCAGGACATTCTGGACGATGATGGTCTTACCCTGGCTGCTGGTCGCTCTGGCGTTGTGACGTCGGAGTGCGTAGCCGAGGCTATAGCTCTCCTCGTACATAATGTTGACCAGATACTTGATGCGGTCTTCAACTTCACCTGGTTCAGGTTCCTCTCTCCGCATCGCTTCAAATGACCATCTTTCCCACTTCCGACGGGCAATCTCCTCGAAGTTCGTCCTCTTCCGGATTTGGTAGCATGAACTTCCATAAGGAGGGTATGTCTGATTCAAGGATCCAAGGTTTGTTGGGCTTGTATTCGCGATCTTGTCACGCAATTCCTTAACCGTGATCTCCTTGTTAATCATACTGTTCTGCCCGGTGTAGTGGTCTTTGAGGGTATCCCATAGTTCATCTATTCTAATCGCACACTCGAATGTGCACAAAAGCTGCATGATGCTTTTCTCATCTGGATTTCTGGCGGCCCCTTCCACCAACTTTGATAATCGGGCCCCTTTGTCAATGAAGCTGGTGGCAGACATCTTCAACTCATTCTCGTTGGTCACTTTTGACAACATTTTCATGAGCAACCTGATTGCATGAGTTACGAATGCTCTGCCACTTCTGTCCATGACAAAGGCTAAGGCCACAACGACGGGAGGAGAAATCTTCACTCGATCCAACCATTCGTCAAGGTCCTTATCCCTGTAACCCCTGAAGTTTGTCTCCTCATAGGTGGAGAATGGAGCAGGAAGGTTGTGCTCTTGGTTCTTCTCCTTGATGAGGGACAATGTTGATTTCAGTGAGCCAATACCTTTGGCCGCTGAGGGGATCACAAGGTCAGTCCCAGCCATTGCGAAGACCGAGATGAGGCACGGGGAATGCGGATCCGTCAAGGCGCACCAACGACGCAGGTAGCAGCCCGACTTCACCTTCAATCTACCTTGAACGGGATCCGGATCCGCCAATAGCGATCCACGACGTGGATACAGCCTCAGCTTCACCTTCACACCGCCTCGTTGGGTGATAAAGTTAATGAATAGTTGTTCATTGATGGTCTTCTCATTGACTTTGAATTCAAGGTCGTTCACAATGACACATGCACATGACTTCGATTCATGGTGATTCATCTCATCTGACACTTTTGGTCGATATCTCCTTCCATAAGCATTGTTGATCAACATTTGATTTGTGACACCCCGAAGGATACATCTGACAATCTTCTCGGTATATAACTGTGTTGCACGTGTTTCTCTACCCGCACATTGACCGTGTATGTGTGAGCCATCACATTTCGCATGCAAGTCAAAGAACTCAACCCCCCACGATACGATTCTCCATGGTTTCTTGATCGCGGTCCCAACATCCTTGAATTTTGATGTCAAACCATACATGCATCCATCAAAGTCATGCACGGTTGATTGGGTCCCTTTGATCAGAAACTTCATTCTCTCGTCATTCCAATAGTCGCATCCCCGAGGTAGTTCCAATAATGCCATAGCATGCAAGACATGTACACGTTGCAGACACAATGTGAACTCTTCCCATAGCTCCCAATACAGAAATGCTTTCATTCTGATGTTGTGTGCTGTGACCTCACTCACATTTTTGTTTAACCGATTCCACGGTGAACCACCGGTGCAAGGTCCCGCAAAGAACACGCAGTCACTAGGACCCCTGATGCAACGTCTCCATTTCGCCCTTCCGTAGTTGGACATCAGGTTGTCATCTTCGGTAATCGTGACCACATGCATCATCTTAAACCGACTCTGTTTGTGAATCTTTGTGATAATACTTTGCGTTTCAGCACACATAAGGAGCAGACATGGGACATCATCTTTCATCTCATAGAGGTTGAGTGATATGATAACGTCATCGAGTATTCTTCCGAGAAAATCAGCATAGGATTGCTTGAAATGGTATGTCAGAGTCTTCCCATTCTTTCGGTGGAGTGTCATTTGAATATCCCAATCATTTTGTTTTCTGGTCTCATGCTTCAGCTTGTAATGATGGGCTATAAACATGTCATCCAACGGAATGATTTTCACGTTTCCATCAAGGATACAGGTGACCACAGTGTCCTGGCACGATGCCCTGTCCTCCACGTCAGACCCGCTGTCCATCACATCTTTGATGTCTGCATTGGATATGATCTTGAAGGTAGTGGTCCCTGTCCAAAATTCATTTCTTGTGTTGGTCTTCTCGATGTTATTCCCCGCCAATCTCCATGAGTCGTGGATCAATCTCCCACTTGACTGAAACACTTGGTTGGTTTCCCGTTCATCCCTAAACCGTCTCAGCTTACATGGTAGAAAGTCAGCCTCTTTGGGGGTAAACATCTTTCTTCTTGGTACCTTGTGCACTCTCATCAATGTTGTTTCATCCTTCCATATCCATTCATCTTGATCACATTCATTTTTGGATATTTTCTTTCCCTT